CGTAAACTGATAACAGACTAATTAGGACAACCTTCTCTCTAGTCCTACCAGATCCCTCCCCACACTTCTCAGCTGCCGGAGGAATAGGCATTTCAGTCATTTCTATTTCTGACATCACAGCTCGAATGAGGAGAACTGGGCATGTGCGAGGTGCCTGCAAGCTATGCGGTGTACACACAGCTGTGCTGGAAGGAAACGCTTGCAATCCGTGCACTCAGCACTATGGAAATGAACTTGGCCCACACTCATGAGCACGAATAAATGCTTAGCTGCCTTTCTAATCACAGAGCAGTTTTCTATCTTTGGTACTTTAGATGTTGTGTAAAGCAGACTGAATTCAATGTCAGATGACTGCTAGACCGGCTTCGTTTGAGCTTTAGCAGAAGTCTTGAGAAGCTCCAGCTATATCTAGTTCATTCTTCTCATATTCAATCCGAACTTTCAGTCCGATCCATGCAGGATGATGGGACATTAACTCAGGCACGTAGGGCTTAGTCAGCAGAGTTAGCCATTGCAGGACCTTGATCTCTGTGGTAGTCCAAATCTGTCCTGTAATGTCTCAGGTATTTGTTTCACTCAAGGTGTGTGCGCCCTACCTTCAAATTAGCATGGTATGTGGTATGAGCGGCATCAGGTGCCGCTCCCACAGTCCCGTTAGCCCAGAACACTGGCATCTGAACATATTTTTTTTACATTCGTGTGTGTGTGCGTGTGTGTGTGTGTGTGTGTGTGTGTGTGTGTACATCCATGTTCATGTGTCCACATGTGCACATATGCATTGCCCTGGCACATGAGGAGAGATCAAAGGACAACTTCCTGGAGTCTGTTTTTTCCTTCCATCATGTGGGCTCCCCAGGGCTTGAACTCAGGTTTTCAGGCTTGATAGTAACTACCTTATTCCACAGAACCATCTTCCCAGGCCACATCTGATCCCCCCCTACACATATTCACACTTTTTCCTGCTCTGGAAAGCAATCCACTTAAACACTACACATTGTGAGCACTCAGGGCCCTTCCCATACACTCCTGTTCTCAGACTTGTTCAGCTGATATTTACAGAGGACACAGATGATCATGAACAAGGTTACAATAAGACAAGGAATCCACATTGGAGCTGGGCAAGTAGGCAGTGTAAGTTTGGGTTATTATTACCTGTCTTCAGATGAGTCGGGGGGGGGGGGGACTTTTCTCAGGGATATGGAGGTTTGGGGAGAAAGAAAAAAACCACTAGATGGTCAGTTCCTTCCAGGAGTGAAGGAACAAATAGGCAGAGAGTCACACCATTAAACACATGTGCTGATTTCTTATACATTTGATAGCTCTGTGAGATCAGAGACTTTGGAGCTCTGAGCAGGCCAATGCTTCTTAACTCCTTCCAGTTGTCTCAAGAGGTGGGCCAGCTCCCGGATTTACCCAACACCATCCCCTTTAGGATTTATTCCTTGTTCATTATCGGAATTTACTCGTCTAAAACATAGGGAAAAAAATTTTAAAACGATAGAATAATTTTTAAAAACCCATAGGTTGTGCCCTGGGGTACTACTTGGCATCTTTACTACAGCAGGAAATCCAATTCTCTTCCTCATTTTCTACATTCAGAAACTAAGAACCCTAGTTAACATAGTCTTGAAGGGTTACCACAAGGGTTAAGCATGGTAATCTAAGTGTCAACTCACTGTATGTAGACTATGATATTAGCTACTAAAATAGTTTCTCTGACTCTCTCGTTGCATTTATTAATATCTGCTATGGACAAAAGGCTGGGCTGGAGTTGTACGTAAGTTGAAGAAGATGATGTCTATGGTATATTGTGAAGAAAATACCAAAGCACAGGGGCTCAAATGAGAAAAGCAATGACTTACGAGTTAATTGAATGGTAAATTTCCTGGTAAGGCACAGTGAACTGTCTACCTCTGACTTGACTCTATGGCTGGGCCAAGCTACACCCTAGCCCTTTCTGGTCAAGTGACATTAAGCAGGTCCTTACAGCCTTGTCATTGTGCAAGGCTAAGGAGTCAGGAAGTTTCTCATTGTCACCTGAAGCCATGATGCTAGAGACTTCTTCCCAACACTGTTAACAACCACTAGTGCCCACAGGACTTCCAGCCTCCCAGGGAGCAGCCTCAGGGCACTGAGAACCCCAGAGCTAGGGGTGACTTCTTAGGTGTCACTTGATGGCTCAGTGCTGACTTGGGAAGAAGCAAGCATGTGAGTGAATATGGAGCCCAGGGAAGGCTTCTGTGTCTCCTCCTCCCTGAGCCAAGGAGAGCCTGCCCTTCCTTCATGGAGCAAATCTGCCTTTGCCAGCCTGCAGCCACTCTCAAACCTAGGAGGAACATGAAATGAGGAGAGGAAAAAAAAAAAAACCATTTATTGGGAGAAAAATTACAAACCCTTCCTGGCTCATTGACAGGAGGGATGAGGGAATCCACTAGCCCCCTGCCCTCCATGCCGACTGATTGGGAAGAATAAACCATAGTTCTAAAATTGTGGAGCACTTCAGTTCCAACTCAAGTCAGTAAAGCTATTTTTGAGATTCAATCCTTTCTCATCCAGCAGCAGGTAAGCCATACCCCACTCCCAAGTTTGTTAAGTATGCAATAATAGCTGATCCCTCTTGGCATTTGCATTGAGCACAATTGAAAGGACAAAGCAGGTGTGACCTTTGGTTTGTTCTGCATTAGTGTTCTGCAGGTAGCCTTCTGCTTGGGAGGCTGAAGACAAACAATTACAAAAGGCTGGTCCACTGGAGCACCTTCCAGAGGATTGAGCTCTTGGATTTTCATGCAGTGATACCACACACTCCTATCATTCACACATACGGACTGTCTTATCTAACTTGAAAAACAGTCATTTGGCCCAGGGACACTGGGCACACTTAAGTTTGTTCTACACTATAGTCTTCCAAGAACGTAAGTCTGATGCTTTGTTTCAAGACTGAAGTTATTTGTCAGGTGCCTGCTGTTCACAAGACAGGAGGAAGTGTGAAGCACCCCAACCCTTCATGCTCTCAAGGGGCCCCTATCCTTTAGGGATAAGGAAACCTCATATATGTTACCATGAGCAAAAGGGAGTCATTGGCAACAATGGCAAAAACACTAGTGGATGGAGCTGTGGGGATGAAGGCATGCTTCCCTCTGGAGGAGGGATACAAACCTGAAAAGTGACTTCCCAAACCAAAGCGAATGTGAAAGGCTGCATGCTGCTCAGCACTAAATAGACATTCTCCAGGCATAGTCTAGGTGTGACTCAATGACCGGACAGCTGATGAGGGTCAAAACGAGATCTCATTCAATGCCAAAAAGTTGCTCTGAGTTAAACACTGAATTTCCTCCTCCTCTTTTCCATTGAAGAAATCCCCTTTGACAACTCCAGAGGCTGAGATACCTACACTGGTCATTTTAAAAGTTGGGATGTGCCTTTGTTTCTAGTCACAGTGAAAAGGGCTCAGATAAAAGGCCAACTACCAAAGAATTCAGCTGCTGATATAGGGAAGGAAGGGTCCTGCTGCTAAGGATGATGCACTGAGCTCTGGGACCTCTACCTGCCCTGCTTCCTAGGGCTGGTCCAGACTCAAACTCCTGTGGTCTCTGCCTGTACCATCTGCCCAAGTGTTGGGACTTCACCTCAAAGCAGAGTATCTACATGAAATCTTAGTAAGAATATGTGTGCACTCAATGTGGGAAATGTCTTATAAATAATGTATGGTGTGTGTATTCAGACTCTGCAAGTTGTATTCCAGTCTGTGTGTATTCTGTGTATATTATGACATGATTAATAATTATAATTAGTCACCATCATCATCTATCCTATTTACAAGGTAATATTGCCAGTTTTGGGGTTATCTTGTGCAGATTTAGGCAGATTTAGAAATGATTTAAGTATTTTAAAACATTTTCAGAATTTTTAGTGTTTTCCTCTTAAATACATAATTTTGAGATTTGTTTTCAGTCCATAACCTCAATAGCCAATGGTGGAGGATCAATTAAAGCAGCCATTTGTGCCTCATCAAAACCAAAAAGAATTCAGGCCCCCCCCCAAAAATTTTTTGTTGCTGTTTGTGTCATTTGGTTTGTTGTTCTTATTGTTGTTTATTTCTTGCTGTATGACATAAGCCATCTCAGCTCCTCAAGTTTGGCGTTATATCATATCTTAAACAGAAGTCTCTCGGAAGGGAGTAGGTAAAAATTTTCTGGGAGAAAGGGTGAAAATATTTGTGACCAAACTATCTTTCTGATGTTTCTGCATTTCTGCTCCTTAAACCCTAGAATTTGAAGGCAGTTATCCACTGAAGCATTATTGGCAGCTTGTAAGATTCACTTGCTTGTACCCAGTCCCATTTTTTTTTTTTTTTGCAAACATTTCATTTTAAAAGATTTATCTTTCAAATTTATGTTTTTGTTTTGTGTGTGTGTGTGTGTGTGTGTGTGTGTGTGTGTGTGTGTGTGATGTGTAGTAGCTATGGAGGCCAGAAGAGAGGACACATCTCCTGGAGCTGGAGTTGTGGGCAGTTGTTAGCTGCCTGAAGTGGGTGCTGGAAGCTGAACTCAAGTCCTCTGGCAGAGCAGCAAGTGCTCTTAACTGCTGAGCCTTCTCCCCAGCCCTACTTTTCAACCACACACACTTCCATCCTGCCGTCTGTAGCTTTCGATTAACAGTCAGTCTGATGTCTGATGGTTGGTCACTGCATGATGACATCAAGGGGAACAAAAATAGAATTTATAGTAAGATCTTCCCCTTTAACTGTGCTGTAAAGGTTCACAGACTGAAAAAAAGAGAAACGGTCCTTCAAAGAAAAAAAAAAAGCTTAAAAAATTGATGCCACTAAACTATAGCATTGAATCTATAAAGTCCGAGGAATGTATGGGTATTAAATTTAAATTTCTTCCTATCAAGCCTAGCCAGGCTCTCCCTCTTGGATGGCTTTCCAGCAGCTTGCTGCTTCGTGTTACTATCTCGTAAAAGAGTGGCATTTAGCTTGTACTCTTTCATTGGAACAGGACAGCTGGGAAGTGGTGGAAGGATTGAGGGGGGACATGACTTACACCCAGGAGCCGCCTGTGCAGAAAGGATTTTTGCTGAAAAAGAGGAAGTGGCCCTTAAAAGGCTGGCACAAGGTAAGATATCAGTGTTGGCTGCTCTTTCATGGGCACGCACTCTATCCCACTCAGGACCAAGTTCTGAGAGCTTATATTCTGTTTGAAGTTGGAGACGAGGAAGGATGTTAGCATGTACATCTTGCTAAATTCTGTTTGCTTCCCACAGAGATTCTTCTACCTGGACAAAGGAATCTTGAAATATGCCAAGAGCCAAACTGATGTAAGTCTTCTTCCTGGCCCAGCTTGCTATTGCAGAAGTGTGCATGGATGCTTGAGGTCAGCCCAGAGCCACAGTGCTCTGTGGGTAATAGTTTTTCCAGGTGGCACAGAGGCCCCTTTCCACATACCCTGACCCCTGCTGTCTTAGCTCTGGATCTAGGTAGGGTCCATTCTCCACCTGGAAAAGATGCAGGGCAACATACTGGGTACCATAGGCCTGCTCTGGTTTTAGCTAATTACAGGAACAGAGCATGTGACAAGTGTCCTTCCCACCCTTAATGGTAACTGGGGAGCTTGATGGAGAAAGCCACGGTTAGGGTGGACCTCCTCTTGGAGTTAAACCTAGGAGGTTGTCCTGGAAGGTTCTGAGTGACCACAGGCCTCTCTCATGGGGCGCTTCTCGCCTCTTTCCCTCTTCCTTTTAAGTCAGTTACGAATGAACTTGTCTAACAGACACTAATCCAGGGAACGGAAGCGGCTCCTACATTGCCTTGGAGTCACCTCCTGGGGATTTTTCTCACTTCCATGCATCCTGACTGTGAAAGCTCATAACCTAGCTTGTGCACTCCAGCCTCGTCTTGAGTGAAGTGAGGCGCGTGCTTTTCCCTTGCGGAGAAAGAACACTGCACAGAGGGCTCCATCAGTCGTGGTAGACATACAAGCTGAGGTGGGAGGGGATCAGGGAGGGTGTTACAACCACCTTGTCTGCTGTGACTCCCAAATAGCCCTTTCCATGCTCTGTAGATTGAGAGAGAGAAGCCGCATGGCTGCATTGATGTGGGACTTTCGGTGATGTCTGTGAAGAAGTCATCCAAGTGTATCGACCTTGACACTGAGGAGCACATCTACCACCTGAAGGTGAGGCCTCAGCCAGGACCGCTTGTACTGTGCAGCTGTTGGTTATGGAGTTGTCTGAAGTAGAGTCTTGCTATCTTGTCCACTCTGACTTCAAACTCCTGGGCTCTAATAGTCTCCAGCTTCAGCTTCCCGAAGAGACAAGGCTGCAGGCTCAGCTCTCCCAGCTTGGCTGTGTAGAGGACTTTCTACTGCGATGGGATTGTCCACTACCACCCTACTGGTGATGCCTTTGGGATATCTTGTGGGCAGTCTTCGTCACTAAAGTGTCCCTAAGGGATGCTATTGATGTTAGGTTGGGCTAGTTTTTCCTTGGTTATACAGGGCTATCTCTCACACTGCTTGAAGAGTTAACATTCCTCAAATGTTCCACTCTTCCCAGAAAAAGTAATCAATAGCCTGGGGGGGCCCTCCCCCAGGCTGTGTGCCTTTAGCATATATAGAACCATTTACCCTAGATGGAAATATGTTCCCTGGAGTATAATATTTACTGTGTGGAGCCCTGACATGACTTTAGCCAGTTTTATAAAGACTTTGTTAAAATCCATATATTGTAGTGAAACATCAATTTTTTCCCCCAAAATAGGAGCTTGCAAATCTTAGTCTGAAAACTTCTTACCCACTTGTCTGTCTTTCTCCTGAATGTGGGTGATGTCATAAAAGCATGACACTGGAGCCCCAAGGCAACATCGGTTTGTACCCGATTGCTTACTAGCCATTTAACTTTGACCAATCATCTAATTTTTTTTTTTTTAAAATATGGGTGTTTTGTTTGTTTGTGTGTTGTTACCTTACCAAAAGAAAAAAAAAAGTGGTCCAGTGCTCATTGACAGGGCTTTGTACATAAGGTTTGTAATGTTTGGCCTAATTCCTTAGGGGACAGTAAGTTTAGTAAGCTTAATTACTGTTTATAATTATTAGGCAGTGCCTGGATGTTGGAGATAAATTGAGAATTGCTTAGGCGGGTTGCTTGATGTTTAGAGAATGGGGCCAAAAGTTGGGAGAACCAGGGTTCTGACCTGTCCCTGTCTCTGGAGCGTGGGTCTCCTAACCTGACCCTGCACTCTGCGCTGGTTCAGAGTGTACAGCTGGCACTGGGCTGATGAGGCTTTGTTGCGGGACTGACCCAGGTGTTACGGTTAAGCCTTTACCACCGGATGCCAATGGCTTCTCTTCTCTGGTAGTTACAATCCACACTGTCTCCAAGTATTTCCGAGTGTCTCCTGAAAGAGAAAATCTCCCAGGGGAAATAACTATGGCAAAGTAAAGGAGGGAAACCCTCTAACATAAAATACTTAAGAGAACGTGCCATTCCCCTGCCTGCTCTCAGTGGTTAATCTCTTCCGGAAGAGTTGGCGCTGTTTTCCCGATTTAGTCCCATGACTCTTCTTATGTTTTCACAATGCTTGCTCAGCTGCAGTTCTTGTTAGCAGAAAGAGCTGTCTACTTTTCAAAGACTTAGAATTGGACTTGATACCATGAGTCAGAGTGATTCTCTGTAAGTTTTCTCATTCATTCCTGAGTGTCAGCTCTGACGTGTAGTGTAGGCCTTGTAGCCTCAGTTTCCCTACCCCCTCTTTATCTTATTAACCGCGCCCCCCACCCCCCACCCCCGCATGCCCAGGCTGGCCTTGAACTCACAAACCTCTTGAGTGCTGAGATTAAAGGCATTCACCACTACATCTGGCTTGATTCTCTCTCTCATTTCATACCTGAGGAGTCCAGGCAGAAGAGCAGTTAAGAACCCACCCAGCCTCAGTCCTGTAATTGCTGTGGGGCCTGTGATTGAACTGTGTGTGGTTAGTTCCTCTCCTTGTCTAACCAATAAAAGATGAGTCAAGATGGACACTTCCGGCACTGGCTTTCCAGAGCTCTTGGGAGTAGATCAGTGAAAGAATGGAATCCATTCAGGGGCTCACAATGCAGAGGAGACAAATCGATGTGTGTCTGTCTGTGCTGTGGCTTTCTATAGCCGGGCGCTAAGGAGGAGCCTCCATCCTCAGGTACCTCTAAGCAACACAGTTTCTGTGTGTCCCTGCTGCTGCCTCAGCAGTCCGTCTGCACACCTTCCTTCCTTCCCAGCCGCAGCCCTAGGCACGATTGTGCCAGCACTGGCCTGGAGGGCCACTGACCCAACACACATCTTTTGGGTTACTTTAAATTACAGCTTTATGAGTCTACATCCTCTCCTTTATCTCACTTTGCACTTTAAAGTTATGAATATCTCTTATGCACACAATACACTCAGGCTTGAGAACTTGAGAATGTTTTAAGAGACAAATATGAGGTTTAGTTTTTTTGTAGTTGTTGTTGTTTAATAAAACCGGCCCTCTTTGCAATCTTAAAAGTTGCATGACAGTTGGAATGTTGCAAAGGAAACACTAATATGTGTGCTATGAAGACACCTCTTCCTCAATCAGTCTCCAAAACCACATAAATGTAAACCAAGGCAGTAATTCGATTTCTTCTTTTTCAAGTGTGCCATCTCCAAAAGAGCGGGTCAGGGGTGGCCTCATTGTGATGAATAATTGATCCTTTTAGCATCTCTCAACTTAACACCCTGTAGGTGAAGTCCGATGAAGTCTTTGATGAGTGGGTGTCCAAGCTCCGACACCACAGAATGTACCGGCAGAATGAGATCGCCATGTTCCCTCGTGATGTCAGTCACTTTTTCCCAGGGTCCACTGTCACAGACTCTGCCCCAGTGTTCGATGCCATTTCCAGTAGGAAGGTAAAGATTGGGCTGCCAGGAATGAGTCTGGGGGAACAGAGGGGCCCATTCTGGGAGTGAGTCTGAGGGCAGGTGCGTGGGTGGAGCAGGGTAAGTTGGGGTGGTATTTAATTAGTCTCTTGAGCAGTGAGTCTGACCCAGGATATAACGAGCATGAATTAAGTTGGGGAGCTCAGGTAAGAAGATTCTTAAGGCTTGGGCCCTCTCCCAACCACACTGCTTTTGGTTTTCCAACCTGCCTGTTGGATGCAGCTAATTAAGCATGGGTACAGCCACACAGGGCTGTCACCCAAGGCCGTGGAGCATGGTGTGCCTTAGCTGGGTGACAGATGGAAGTATTAGTCTCTAGGGGCCTTTGCTAGAAGGTTCTTCCCAAATCACCCTGCTGTCCTTCCCCTTAGAAGCTGTCCCTGGCACAATCTGTTTTGAATTCTAACCTGCTTTTGTCATCCGCGAGCAGCGTAGCAGTCTATCAAAGCAAAATTCATTCCAAACTGGAAGCAATTTGTCATTTTCTTGTGCTGGTGACGCACGCGTTCCATTCTGGCTACAGTCTTCAGAGGACATGGAAAAATGCTCAAAAGGTAGAGCAGTTTGACTCTTCTCTCCCTGTCTGTCATGGCTCTGAGGTGCTGTGGGCTTGGCATTGCCTTCACGTGTGTTTGTGTCCCTACTGTCACCACTCATCTGCATTCCATCCCTCACTTTGCTAATGAAGGTCTCATCATCATTAGTCAGCATGCTCTCTCCAAAGAGCTTAGTGTCTTCAGCTGGATGCACACACACTTCCTGGTCTAGCCCTGGGACGGGTGCATGAATTCCTCCTGTGGCCATACGTCATGTCTCCATGGGTGGGGACTGTCAGCCCACTCATGGTTTTTAAATGCTAAAAATGCCTCTGCTGCCCACCCAAGATGAAGAGTCAGTGCCCACTGAGGAAGCGCAAGTGGCCAGTTAAGCATTCTTCACCATGGCTGTACACTTGAATCACGGGGAGAGTTTTTAAAGATTTGATTTTATTTTTAATTATGTGTATTTGGGTTGGCAGGAGGGGGGGTATGTGCATGTGAGTGCAGATACCCACAGAGGCCAGAAGAGGGCATCAGACCCCCTGGAACTGGAGATGCAGAGGTTTGTGAGCTGCTCAGTGAGGCTGAAGTCTGGTCCCTTAGAAGAGCAGTATACCCTCTTAATCTACCTGCTGAGCCACCTGGACCCTTTAACGTGCAGGGGAGGGACGTGCCACGCCTATGCCTATGCCTCTGTCCCAAATGTCCTGTTTAAATTAGTCTGGGGTGCAGCTCTGATGACCCTGTTCCCAATGGCCCTTGAGTGACACTGACCAGGAGGAAGGATTGATCACAAGGCAACTCAGTGTTCTCAACCCCAGTCAGCTAAAACTCATCCAGGGAACCAGACTGAGATTTCTAATGGAATAGAGTTCGGATTTAATTGTCTAAGGTTAGGCCTGGAGCAAGTGGAATTTAAAATTCTTGAATTAAAAAATTAAGTTAAGAGCTGGAGAGAGAGAGAAGAGAAGAGAGAGAGAGAGAGAGAAAGAGAGAAGAGAAAAGAGAGAGAGAGAGAGAGTTCAGTCCTTAGAGTATTTGCCATGCAAGCTTGAGAGTCTGGGTTTGGCACCCAGAACCCACAAACAAAGTCAGATATGGCAGTGTGTACTTATAATTCCAGGCCTGGGGAGCTGGGCATATATGGATCCCAGGGCTAAGCAAGCTTAGACTACTTGGGAAGAGTGCGCAGTGAGAGATGTTTTTTTGAAAAACAAAGTTGATTTAGTTCTTGATGAAGACCAGAGGTTGACCTTTGGCCTATACACACACGTGCACACATGTGTGCACAAATACACATGTGCTCATGCGCACACACTCACACAGTTTTTAAAGTATACTCTTGATTTAGAGACACTATTAGAGAAAGTTTCTAGCAGCAGCCTTCTGTGTGTTCCATGAGATGTGGTTCCCTCTGAGCATGAAGTTCTTGCCCCTCCCATACCTATCACTCACTAGCTCCATGAACTAGCCCTGGCAAAATGGTCCCCAGAGTATTGTTCCTGGACCAGCATCAGCAGGCTGGCCTGGGTCTATTAAAAATACCAATTCCCAATGGTATGAATCATAAGCTGGGGCCACAAGCATGCCACGGGGTTCTGTGCATCAGGAGACTGAGAGCTATGATGTTGACTCATATGTGTCTCCAGCTCAGTAGAAGCACTGTGTGTATCCAGTGCATAGCTAGCTGTGGAGTGGACGTTTCTTGAGTGAGCGACTAGGGTCTAGTCTGGCCATACTCTCCTGTCGTCTGAGGCCCATCTGCCATGGTTCACTGTTGTCCTGAGTTAGGGATGCTGTTGCTGGAGTGTGGGAGTGGCTGCTGTTTTCAGTTGCTGCTATAGGCCATTGCTGAGCATTCTGCACCTATCAAATCATTTAACTTCCAGCACTATGGCTACATGTGTAATTATTCCCATTTCCCATATGAGAGAACTGAGGCACAGAGACCTTGTGTCACAGTTTATCAAGTGGATTTAAGTCAAGGAGCCTAGAGCCAGGTCATAAACCACTATCATCTATGGCCTTTCTTGTGTGGGGAAAATCAGATATGGAAACATCTACCCTTGTGAACATCTACCCTTCCTCCCACAGACCTGGCACATTGCCACACCTATCTGCTGGAAATGAGTCAACTCTTACAAAGCATGGACGTCCTGCATCGGACATACTCAGCACCAGCCATCAACGCCATCCAGGTTGGCTTACCCATTCTTCTGTTCACCTTCCGTCTTCTACTTCCTCTCTTATCCCCTGCATTTGACTAACAGTGGGATGCTGTCCGTCCAGTTAGTTGCTTTAGCCAAACTCAGTGGGATGGCTTTGGTCCCTTCCCTGTGCATTCGTCTCTGCAGTTTTGGTGGACCTTACTGTCTGTACTCTCTTTCCTGTTTTGAAATGAAGGGTGGAGCTTTTGAAAGTCCCAAAAAGGAAAAGCGATCACACAGGAGGTGGCGGTCCAGAGCTATTGGCAAAGATGCTAAAGGAACGCTGCAGGTAACCTTTGCTTCTCCACCAGGCTCGCTTTCCTCTCGGTGACTCAAACAGGGCAGGAAAGTGAAAGTTCGGGGGTTGATGTCTATCCCGTGTGAGGAGAGTCAACTCCTGTTACTGAGACCCTCTGGTTACGGGGATAAGGCCGTGAGGACACTAGGGCAGGAGGAATTTTCCTGGTGGACAATGGCTTGGCATTGGAGGGACTGCCCTGTCGTGAGGATTTGGGGCCTTTCCTTCTTTAACATCTAGCTTGTCTATGATGCTCCCTGCTCTATTGTGTGCCTTGCCTGGTGGCTGCTGTGGCCCGATACCCTGACTTACCTTTGTTACTATCATCCCTCAGATGGGCCTACTTCTCTTGGGGTCCACAGCCTGAGCCTGTGTCCTGCAAGCCTTTTGCCACTTTTCTTCAGACTCTTAGCAACACCCCCAGGGCCGAACTTAGATGTTTTCAGAGTGAAGAACATTGCATGTGCAAATGTGAACCAAGGGTTTATTTTCTAGAAGCTCAGGTGCAAGCAAAGAAAACCATCCAGGAACTGATTTTCTCTGACAGTCTAGTTGTGTGGTGACATTGCAGCCCATGATGCTAAATCTCTCATCATTCCTGAGACAGCATGTTATTTTCTGCCCATTTGTAATTTATAGGAGAACATCTTCCTGGGTTTTACTCAGTTTTCTTCGAAGTCATCCCTTGGTGGGAAGATGTACCACTAAGATACCTTCTTAATCAGCTCCAGTCGTGGAGGCTCTGGTCTGAATAGAAACCCACCCTTTGCTGTCTCTTTAGGTCCCTAAACCTTTTTCTGGCCCAGTGAGACTACACTCTTCCAATCCTAATTTGTCAACACTGGACCTTGGTGAAGAGAAGTGTTACTCGGATGGTTCTGAAGCCTCGTCCGAGTTCTCCAAGATGCAGGAGGACCTGTGCCATGTCGCCCACAAAGGTAAATGAGTTTTCCTTCTTCCTAACATATTCGATGGAAATGTCTGTTAACACAAAACTATAGCTATCATCTTTAAGAGAATAATAGACAGTTTATTCTGAAGCCAATTTTGAGTGACCGTGGCCCTGGAACACAGATCTAGGTTACCCCAAATTTCCATACACATATGTACAACTGAGTGCATGTCAGTGAAGAAATGTGAGTACACTCTGTTACCCTAACTTCTCTGCCCTGGGTTTACATTGTTAGTAAGTAGAATGTCACCATGGGGAGGAACTGAGTACAGGTCACAGGGCACTTCTATACTGCTTGCCAACTCCTTCGAGTCCACAACAATTTCAAAGTAAGAATTACAAATAACCATGACTGTGTGTGTGTATATGGCTCGGTGGGTAGAATGCCAGACTAAAACTAACCCATGTCTGACAAGAGGGGATTGGACTTTTAATGTAACGTAATCATATAATGGGTTATTTAGCATAGTGATAGCATCTCACACCGAGCACCTAGGTGTCATGTCAGGAGTTTGCTGAAAGTTTTAGATGTACCATTTCATTTCATTCTAGCAGAAACTTGGGTAGGGGATGAAGTCTTCACCATCTACTTGGGAACCAGAGGTTAGCAAAGCTACCTAAGGGTCACATGACAACAAGCCTGAGGCTGAATTACAGCCTGGTCCAGGCCAGGATCCACTTGTTGTCTGTAAAGATGGGAGAACAAATGTTTAAAAACAAAACAAAACAAAAATGCCTACAATATCCTGTTACAAAGTTAATAAAGTTATAAAACAGTGTATATAGGTGTCATTTTTTAGAAATATTTAATATTCCTGGCATATGTGAGTACACTAAAATATCTAGACTGTGCAGAGCATTATTTAGTGGCAGAAACTGAAGTTCTAAGTGCTAGCTGGCTCCCTCTGCCAGTGTTTCAAATGACTGTTATTGTTAAAGTGAAGATGGATTAAAACATTCCCACTAGTGCCTTCCTCTCTTTGCTCCAGACCTTTTCTTCCACTTATTATTATTGATTCCTTCAGAGAATATTCCCTGATATAGATATATATATATATATATATATATATATATATATATATATATATATAAAGCAAATCTGAAATCCATTTGGTCACGAGATGGGTTATAGGGCAACTGCATCATGCTTGTGACAGGCTCCTCCCTCGGACTCCTTTGCTGGCCACCATGTGCATCTCTCTGTGTCCAGCAGGACACCCATGTCTGTGGGAGCAGAGGCATTGCCTGGCTGGCCCTTCCCAGCTCTTCAGGTGCCTCATGGGCATTCTTTAGAAGGTCCTTGCAATGGGGACATTTTAGGATTTGTGGGAGGAGGCATCTTTAAACCAGTTTTATGACACAAACTGCCTATTTAATTCTATGGAGGCCCTGCAGTGGTCTCCCTGTCCTTGCAAGTCTGTAATCTCCCCCACACCAGCTGTGCTGTGGGGTCTTTGTGAAACCAGCAGGCCGCAGAGTTGCCATTTATGTCACTGAGGTCAAGGTTTGTGCTCCAGGAACAGGGCAGGCACTGTTCAGCCCAGCCAGAGTCCCTTGGGTTTATAGGAGCCTAGCCAGCTCTGTTCTCTTCCCATGTCTTTCAATTCTGCTTGCATGTGTTCAGACCCCTCTCACCTCTTTTGTATCACTAGAAGGCCCTCATGGAACAAAGACCACACACAGATTTGCCCCGAGTCCTAGCTAGCACCTTGTGACCTTTCATTTATCTGTACATTCAGACTCAGCTATGGTGGCCTTTCTCCCTGTGTGATTTTGATTGGTTACAGATACCGTCTTTAATCCTTTGACTGCATCAGGGGTCTCTTGACTGTTACTTTGTAGCAATTGAACTAAAGTCAAGAATTCCATGTATGTCATGCAACCTGTGTACCATTCAACATGGCACAAAACATCTCTTATGCTTTTATAGATCACATGATAGGCAGCCAGCAGAGATGCATCCCGGATGTAAAAGTTCTTCTGTACATCCATTTGTAGGCATGCATTGAGATGTTCTATGTGGTTCATATTTCTGGCTTTGTATATGCCAACACACTATAAGCAAGGAGAACGAATACCCTTAAAAATCACAATTTTTGATGCATATATTAGCTTTTACATTTCTCAAAATGTATTTTATGGGATTCTTAATGCACAAGATGGGTAAAAGTAAAAAGCAATTGTGTGATTAAAAACGCCTGGGAAATGCTGCCGACTGTTGCTGTCTTGATTTTGCGTGTGGAACTGTAGGTTGGGGTATCTCTGAAAGAGCCTGCAGCAAGGAAAGCCGTCAGCTTTGTTAAGCTGTGGTTTTGAGTGTTATTTGTGCAATTCCCCCATTGATCCATGACCATGGCAGCAGACAAGCAGGAGCAGTAGCTGAGAGCTTAACATCTTATCCACTATCACCCAGCAAAGAGCAGTACATTGCCACCCCCCACCCCAGTGATAGGCCACACCCCCTCAGCAAGCTCCCTGCCTCCTAATCTTTCCTAAGGTCCACCGATTGGGAACCAAACTTTCAAATAGATGAACCATTTCTCATTTACACCACCACAGAAGGAGACATCTATTTGCTGGTATGGAAGAGAAACAGGCTTCCTGGAATGCTACTGATGAGAGAAAACCTCTGGAATCCCTGAAGGAAAAGTCACATATGTCACAATGGTGACAGAGATTTTCATGACCTGAGGGAAGGGTGATTTGAGCTTTGTTCACAGTTAACATTCACTCTAAGTTTGTTGAGCAGTTAGGTTCATGTACATGCTCAGTAAAAAGTAGGGTCATGTAGCAAAATTCACTAATGTATCTGTATCTAAATCAGTTCAGATGGGTAGGGATTAGAAAATGTTTTACAGCTATGGGAACCATGTAAGAGTTGAAACTTAAGGAGGCAGATTAAAGGTCATCAAATTGTCCCAGAGAGTGTAGGAATGTTACTCTTTGGAAGGTAACTCTCATGGTTCCCATTGGAAAGAGAGAAGGTCTGGAGAGATGGCTCACTCCACGGTAAAGTGTGTTCACTGCAGAAGCACAAGGTTTCAGATCCCAGCACCACACAGACCCTGGGGGTCAGAGCCACATCGATGCTGGGCATCAGGAGGCTCCCTGGCTTCGCTGGCTTCCAAACCAGCAGGAAAGACCCCAGAGAAAACAAACCCAGACTCCAGGCACATGGAGAGACCCTGCCCTTGTGCCCCCTTGAAAAAGAAAGAAAAAAAGGCAGAAAAGGATGCCGCGCACACACACACACACACACACACACACACACACACACACACACACACACACACCCTGCACACATACACATGCAAGAATTAAAGGAAAGACAAACAGAATCCTACTGTGTTGGGTCCTGTGGTCTCAAGTGCTTTCTCGTTGCTTCCTTAGAGCTCCATAGATGCCAGCATTTCCCACATATTCAGTCCATTTACGTTAGGAAACTGATGATTCCTCCAAAGTCTAAACCATAGCAAAGCATTAGGGACTGAGCTGAAATCTCATTTGCCTTACTCCACATGATCTTTGGTGTATTACATAGTGTTGGTGCTGTTGGTAACTGTGGTCCCTCCTGAACTGAAGAAAATGCTAAGGAAGGAGCATGGGCAGAGGAGAGCTCCAGATCATGGTCTGTGTATGGCTTCCCAGTGGAAAGCTCTCAGAGCCTCTCCCACCTGATGTAGCAATGGGAGCCCAAAGCAAGGGGAAAGGGAGGGCCACGAGTCAACAGAGCAAAACCTACAGTGTCTGTTCTGCAGCTGGAGCTGAAGGGCTCTGACAGTCAGAAGTGTCTCCTGGGGGTCAGGCGTGGATAGCAGTGTATGCCTGTAATCCCAGGGCTTGGGAGAATGAGGCAGGAGGACTGTGGGATTCAGACTAGGCCAACCTGGCAAGATCCTGAATCCCTCTCCCCAAAAGAGCCCAACCTGTGTTCCAGTGTCCTAGTCCAGCAAGGGCATGGAAGAGACTTTAGAGCAGATTCTGCAACTACCTTCTGATATTTGACTTCCCCGTGAAGGCAAGCAGCCGTGTTGGATAATGTAAAGAGACTGAGGCAAGCATTGCATAGCTGCAGCTGGTCTCAGAGCATTGTGACTGCTCATGGGGCTTGAGTAGCATGGGCTAAAGGGTTGAGGTCTGGAAAGGATGGGCCATGCTCTGGCGTGGGAGGCTTGGATGATTTTTGAGATTCTCTGTAGCTCTGTGTATCTCAACGTCTTTATGATAATGTATCCACAGGTGCAGTGCACTCACTCAGATATCTTTTTTAAGCTTTGTAGTCTGTATTAAATTTAGGATGACATAAATAAGTAAGAAGACACTCCTGACACAGGAAATGCCTCTAAACTTTGTGAGCCAATGTCACTGTCTTAGCCATGGTTTCTATTGCTACAATGAAACACCATGATCAAAAAGGGTGTTGTGGAGGAAAAGGTTTATTCAGCTCATGTTTCCATAGCACTGTTCATCACTGAAGGAAGTCAGGACAGGTACTCAAACAGGGCAGGGACCTGAAGGCAGGAGCTAATGCAGAGGCCATGGAGAGCCAACACAGCTTTGTACAGTGTAATTATGGTCTCCTGCCATCTAGCCACTGCTCTGGGAATGATGAATCGTAAGTTGACCAAGAGTGACCACTTTAATATCTTCTGGGTGGATCTAGGGCCATTTAAGAAATTCATCCAAGTATGGTAGAACACACTGGTAATCCCAACATTTGAGAGCCTGAGGCAGGAGGAAGTCACATTGAGGTCAACTTGGGCTATATAGTGAGAACAGAAGAACCTGTTTCAAAACACACACACACACACACACACACACACACACACACACACACACACACACAGTTACCACATATGCATTTAGGGATCTGGTTTTCTAATCCTCTTTTTAGGTGATTGAGGAAGAGTTTTGTTTGTTTGTTTGTTTTTTAATCTGACAATGAACTATGACTGTATAGGTTTCTTTTTTGCGTATTTATGCCCACTGTAGTCTTAGTTATATATTCCTTATCCTGAAGGTAAGGGAGCTGGTGGCTGAGCCCAGAGCTTTGCTCTTGCTGGCCAAGTACCCTGTTGGTGAGCTCTATTGCTAGCCATCCTAGCTGCATACTATGAAACAGATAGTGCCCATTCTGTCCTTTAAAAAGCATAATCAGGAATCACCTACTCTGGTGGAAAGTCTCTCCTGGCAACAGAGCATCTGGAAGGCAGAACCGTTGACCTGGGAAAGCAGAGCAGCCAGGTGCATGCTCATGGTATCTGGAGGAGTAAATGTGTCCTTGGAAAGGAAGAACCCCCAGGGATCCACTAGGACAGCTGCAGGTATCCTGGGGGATGGAGGGGAGATGTCTAAAGAGGCATAAAATGCAGTGAGGTCCCTGTGTGCCCTGTTGTCCTCCTCCCAAGGCAGCTGCTCTGGCTCAGCGAGCTCTGGCCAGTCCTCATTTGTACACTGTCTGCATGTGTGCATTTGTCCTGATAGAGCTAAGTATTGCACTATCCCTGCTGCCCAGATTCCAAGAGAGCGGAGGCATCAATTTCACTGTCATGCATCTCTTTTGTCAATCTGACCATTATCCCTTTGGTAACATCCATTATGTATTGCATTTGTGCATTAGGTTAAGGACTTTGTATGCATTGTCTTACTTAATCCTTATTACAGGCTATAAAGTAAATGCTAGCAGTATCTCCATTTAGGGTTCAGGCACATCAGATACTTTTCCAAGGTCATAGAATGAATAAATAATGGGACTCTCCCTTCTGGTCTTAGAAGCTGCACCATAGCTTGTAAATTCATATGTGTGTGAGAGAGAGAGAGACAGGCAGGCAGACAGACAGACAGACAGACAGACAGACAGAGAACAAATTGCTTGTTTGCATTAGGATATTATGAGGATTCTCTGGATCTATCACTAAGTGCCCCAGACAGCCAGCAACAGCATATGGAGACAATGGACAGTTTTCCTTCTCACTGATAAATGAAGGGAGCAAGTCAGTAGTGGGTATTTAGTTTCTGTTATTGAATAGGCCATTCTTGGATAACAATACCTCTGAAAATGCAAGCCTGTGAAATTTAATAAAATGCCAGGTCACTGGAGAAGCCTGTCTCAGTCCCTTCCTTCTTGCCCTCCTGTGACAAACTGGAATGGAAGAGAATGGAAAGATAATATCTAGTGTGGTCTCTATGATCAGTACTTTAGGTAGCCGTTCCCTTATCCTTGGGAAGTTTCTTTACCCTATGTGATCAGAACCTAATAGATACTTGTCATCCCTGTTCCTGCCTTAGGATTGACAAGTGTACATAGATGCTAATAGATTATATTTTCCCAAGGAGTTTAAGTCCACAGCAAAATTGAGCCACACAATTTCCCATGCATCCCTTGCCACCTATATAGGCGTCTCCCACTCTCAGGTTCCCACACAGGGTTAGGAAAGGTAGCACAAGGAACCTGTGTTGCTACATGTTGTCACGAGAGCGGTAGTTTCCCTTAGGATTCACTCCCACACATTCAGTGTGTTTTTAAAAATCAATGTGTATTTACCGAACTCGGAATCCTTTGCTGAAATTGTGTGTAAGAAGTACACTTTTCTGCATGTGGTTTTTAATTGTGCCTCTTCCTTGTTCCTTCTTGTAATGATTATATCTTTGTAGTTTACTTCGCTTTAAGGTCAGCTTTTAATAGCATATCGGCGGAGAGAGAGAAGCTGAAGCAGTTGATGGAGCTGGATGTCTCCTCCTCCCCATCTGCTCAGGTGGTCGGTCTGAAGCATGCCCTGTCATCTGTAAGTTCTGTGTCTTTGTTTCATAAATGTCTACAAATGTAGCCAGCCTTGTGAATTACTAATACCTCCCATTCCCATGGTTGCATTGAAAATTGATGATTTTCACGGTTGAGTTGAATCTTGAGTAAAACCAAACAAATTATCCAAATTATATGCAAACCTTTCTTCAGATTTAGGCATTCAAAATAATCCCAAACCATAGTAGGTAGGATTTTCCTAAATGTTCCATTCTCTGAGTTTGATTTTTTTTTCCACTTTACCTGATTTTTCTGTTTCTACTGAACTTTTATTGTATGTTTGTGTGGGAGTCTTGCAGACATTTGTCGGTTAATGCTTACACAGTTTGACATTTGGGAGATTTTGTGGCTCCAAGGCATCATACGTTTAGATTGACTTACCAAATAGCACGTGGCAGCAAGAAATTTCCAATTTACACATTTTCCATCTCCACTACAAAGTGCTGATCCTACTTAATGCTCTTCCAAATACATGAATGATATTTTATCTGAATAAATAGCATAAAACCTTTATCTTTTCCTCCCGTGGACTCAGAGAGATGAGTGGCTGTCAGGGTCATTGCATCTTCAAACAGAGAAACCAGTCATGGCCTCAGATGAGTTTCAGTAGCCACTGTCACACATAGTTAATGTCTTGGCTTCACTTTGCTGCTCAGAATGGCTGGGCTCCATTGATATGCTGTGTCCTGTGCCACCCGGGCAACTGGAGGTATCTGACACTTTAACCTTGACCTCTATCAAGAAGCCAGAGAACCTCTGGAACAGCATACATATTTGCTCTTTTCCCTTGTACCTTGGAATTTCTGCTTTAAGAAGAGGGGTAACCGTCTGAAGCACTACTGACTTGTATTTTGGGTCAGGTGAGAGTGATGAACTTTAGGATCAGGTGACCAGGGCCCAACATAAGGACTGAGGGAGAAAAAGTCCATTCATGGTTTCTATTTGTCATGCTACTGAGAAAAATAATGTTGTCAGTGTCTGTGAATGAGTGTTACAATGTAATGTTAGTGCTGGCCCTTGACTAGGAGCACACAGCACCTGCTCCAGACAGCTCAGATCCTTTCATTCAGTGGCAATTCCAGCTGTGCTATCTTTGTATTGTTGTTGTTGTTGTTTTGTTTTGTTTTAACACCGGATCTCATATAGCCCAGCTTAGGCCTCATGGAGCCATGTGGTTCTGCCTCCGCTTAAATTATAGTCATGTGCCCAAATATGCTATTTTTGAAAGAAAAATTTAAAAATAATATTGACTCACTCCATATGTAGAATCTCCATTTTAAGATTTTATTTGTTTATTTATTTTTTGGGTTTTCAAGACAGGGTTTCTCTGTATAACAGTCCCAGCTGTCATGGAACTCACTGTGTAGTCCAGGCTAGCCTTGAACTCATGGAGATCCACCTGCCTCTGCCTTCTGAGTGCTGGAATTAAAGGCATGCACCACCACGCCCGGCTTTTAAGTCCCTTTCTTAAGGTTGAGAGAAAGAGAGATCTTTTGGACCTGGGGGAAACAGCTGGCACAGCTGGACTGGTACTTTGCTTCTCCCACCCTTTCTTTGATTTATTCCTTGCTGCACACACATTCTCATCGTCCCCATCTGAGTGGCTTGACATGCTTCTCGAAGGTCCCTCCGACGGGAGGCTCCCTCAAGTTCCTTCCCATGGTCCCCCTCTCCCTTCTTCCCACAAAGGTCCAGCCTTCTCCCTAATCTGCTTGGCTACACTGGGCTATGGTTTCCAGGCCAGATTTGCACCACCTTTTCTAAGGGATGCACTCATACCCACTTTAACAGTTTAGACATAAGATAAAACACGGTGATCATTTCTTTCCTTTCTGGCTTAGATTTCTGGTTCAGCCCAAGACTTGTTTCTTCAAAATACTTCTTTTTAGAATAATCACAGAACTATAACGATGGATGTATCAATACTGAATTATATATACACACATACATATCTACAGTTTCTATCCTTTGCTAAGATTCTAGCCGCTGTTAACAGTGACGTGATGCCTCAAAGGGATTAAAATATGTGGTTACATGACCCTAGTTCTTATTCAGAGTTTCTTAAATGATTCAAGGGTTCTTAGAATAATCTATGTCCCCTATGGCCACTGAAAAGTAAAACGAGAGCCAGGCATGATGGCCTTGTAATTCCGGCTGCTCCTGGGAGGCTGAGGCAAGTGCTGAGGGAGACCATGTCCTGTACATTCAACAGTGATGATAAGGAAGGAAATAAACAAAGCCCTTGTCTTGCTGTAGACATGGCCCCTCCTACAGATAGACCTACAGTGTCATGTACAGGAGAGTCAAGCGAAGGAAGTGCACATTTTCCTTCTGCTGTGAGCCAGGTTGAGATGGGAGGTGGGAGGAAATAGAGGTCTTGGATGGTTTCTTTCACATCCATGGCTCACACCCAGCACCATGGTGTATCCATAAGGTTGCTTGTTTATTTTTTGAAGCGCAAACTGTATTCTCAAAAGTGTGTAAGTCAACCAGCATATTTCTAAGGTCCAGTGCAGCTGGTGTGATAATTAACTCATACTGGGTAATATCCACTGGCATCTTGTCAAGGACAGGAGGATCTAGGAATCAGCATGATAGGAAGAAAAGACACTGACTGGCGTTGTCTATGGCTTCCTTCTGCAGCTGTACTAACCCTCTTTCTACCTCTGAAGATAAGATTAACAAGGAGCATCCTGGATGCATTTGTTACCTCCCAGCCTTCTGCTGGAGAGCAATGGGGACAGCCCAGACACACTTCTAGCCAGGGTGTCCTGCCCAGGGATCCTTGCTCCTAACTTGCTTGTTCCCAATCCTCTGCTGCTTTTCCTGAACCGTCCATTTACTAATAAAGCCCTGCTATTTTTAACATATTCCAGGCCCTAGCACAAAACACAGATCTTAAAGAACGCTTACGCAGAATCCATGCGGAAACTCTGCTCCTCGACCCTCCCGCTGTTCCCAAGTCGGGGGACAACCTGGCAGAGGTGGGTAGGTTTCTTTTTCTGGTAACTGTTCTCTGCAACTGCCACCTGTCCCCAGCACCCGCTGCCCCGCTGCATAGCTCTCCGCTTCACCCCCTTGCGCGGCAGCCATGCTCCGGCCTCCCCTGACTGCTGCCACAGCTCTGCTCTGGCTGAGTTCTTGGGATTCGAAGTCTTGCTGGCCCAATGCCACCCAGCGCATTCTTCAGTGAGCCCTGCTTTTGTGTCCCTATGCTTTATTCCCTGTAAGTACCATTCCTTTCTATAGCGTGCGAGCTATAGAAAGGCAAGTGCTTTTCCTTGTCATTTCTGAAGAAACTGAGGTTTCTGTGACCCAGTGTCTAGTTCCTTGCAGGCTTCTTGTGCTCCGCTAAAGCCATGGTAGTCTTCACCATAACTGTTCCTTCTTCCTCCTTCTTCCTGTTTTGGTTTTTACCTCTTTCAGAACACAGCTCTATAGTTCAAGGGGGTGGGGGGTGGGGGAAGGGACTGCACTACTACAGTCAAAATCTATTGTCAGTTAACACACGTTAGAAAGGCCATTTATTGAGATGCAATACACTTTGACAGCTTAGTGGTCATTTGCCTTTGGACCCTAGTTCAACCCGTACCATAGATTTCCCCCCCCCCCGCCCCCTCCCCCTCACACACACATGAGATCTTTTCTCAAGGCTTGGGATTTTTTTTGCCCCAAATGGTCCTGTGAATGTGTTTAAAACAAGCAATTTCAGAAAAACATAGTGTTATCCTTGAGAAATAAGAATGAGTTAGTAAAAAACAGCTGTTTTTAAGTGTCTTAGGTATTCAGATGTCTACCTCAGATGTATAAAATTTCCCATTAGCAAACTGGTTAGATTTTAAATGCAAAAACAAGAAAGCAGGCTAGGGATGCAATGCTGTTAATACAATGCTGAGGACCCTCCTAAGAACCCACATTAAAAATACAGGTGTGATGGCACGTTCTTGTGTTCCTAGGGCAGGGAGGTAGAGACAGCTGGGTGACTCGGGCTATCTGGCCAGCCAGCTTAGCCTACATGGTGAGTTTCAGGCCAGTGAGACATGTTCACTTCTCTCCAAAGGTGGGCACAAGGCTAGAGAAATATGTCATTGGGTAAAATCTTTTTCCTCAGAGACCAGAAACCTAAATCCCTGGACCCCAAAAGGAGAGAACCAGTTCCTCAAAGTGGTCCTCTGCCTCCACATAAAATTTAGAAAAGAAGGTGGACAGAGCCGAACCACAAGGGATGGCGCCCACAGTTGTCTCCCCCCCCCATAAGTAAACACACACATCTGCTCACACAGCATGCACCCATACACTCACACACACGCAGGGCAGCAACAAAGGGCTTGCGTATACATTTGTAAAGGCTTCACTGTAATCGTCTTCATCCTCTTAAGAAAACCCATATCCCAGCACTCGGGAGGCAGAAGCAGATGGATCTCTGTGAGTTCGAGGCCAGCCTGGTCTACATACAGTCCCTTCTCTGTGTGAGCTGAGGGTGAAGAAATTTGAGGCCAACACACCCAGATCACCTGTCCTGTTTGCAGCACAGGCATGCTAACAGGACCACTGCCCCAGGCCAGAGCCACACCCTCATTCATGGTGGTAGCTGAGGAGAAAATTCCTCTGCAGGCACACGACTCCAGGAGAACAGCCCTGCACCCTCCCTGACGGCCTTGGCACTTTAGGCCTGAGCCTATCACCAGCCAGGCCCTTTCAAGTGTGCACATTAGCTGACACGGAGCCTAGTGTTTGTCATGTCTGGTCATCACTGAGTGTCGCTTGCTGCCAGGCACAATGGTATCTCTAATTGCACACTAATTTCTAGGCCATTCTTACTTTTTATATTACATAATATTCTCACATGAATTACATTTGCATTTTTTGTGATTAACTAGATAACCTTCTCTAAGCATTTATGAGCCTGAGTCCAGTGTATATCATTCAAGCTGTTTGTGTTTTGAGATAAAACCCAAAGCCCGGGTCTAGAAAAATGCACATTTTGGGAACAATTTCAAACAGGCATAGCCCGAAAGCTGAAGCACTCGGAACTGTTCGGGACGGTTCTGCCACAGCCTTGAGTGTGCTCTTCCACGGCGTTCTCGGGATGGTTAAATGCTTGTCTCATTCATTTCCTCTTTCAGAGAGCTTCTATTTCCCATGGCTTATCCTTTTTTTCCCACTGAGTGACTCAAGGCTGACTTTCCCAGTGAAGAAAAGTCATTGTTGCCTTCAGGAAATAGGAGCAGAAATGATTAAGAATGGTCACGTAGGCTGAAAAAACACACCAAATCATGTGTGTGTGTGTGTGTGTGTGTGTGAGAATTAACTTTGAATTTTTAGTTACTTAAAATAATTTATAACATTTGTTTATTTAGTGTGCATATATACACGTGTGGATATGCACATACATACATACTTACATACATACACCACAGGGCATGTGTGGGGGTCGTAGAGCAACTTGCAGGAATCAGTTCTTTTTTTCTACCGTGTAAGCTCTGGAGATTCAATCTAGGGCATGCAGCTTGGTGCCTGGTGCCTTTATAGGCTAAGCCATCTCACCTGCACCCCAAGTTACCTTTTGTAGGTTTCTCCCGGGAGCCTCTTGACACTTTACAGCAGAATGACAGTCCCTAACAGTGGGTTCAGTCCAAGGGCTTCTGTCTTTCTGGCCTTCCACTGTTTACCTACTTCCTGTTGCCACCTTTTGGCTGCACAAATGAGCTACTGCTGGTGTTGTGCCTAAATATTGAACCCTAAGATTCCCTCTTCTTAGAAGTGACCCACTCAGCTTACTCAAGACATACCTATGTATTTGTAAATGTGACATTTTAATATCACCAGGGCAGTAGTCAAGATTGTATTGCTATTATTGATTATCTTATTTATTTTAGACTAGAAATCAGGGGCCAGGTGGTCTGTGGGAGTAGTATTTTCTCTAGCTAAATGGAATTTAAGAATGAACAGGATGGTGACATGTCTAACAACAACACTCAGATGACCCAGACAAAAGGATGGCTTGAAGCCAGCCCACAGCTAGATAGCGAGTTCCAGGCCTGTCTAGATAATAGCAAGGCCTGTTCCAAACAAAGTAATAAATGCCATTTAAGGTACCTTTAAAACATCCGTAACTGGTCTGGTAGTGGTGATGCACACCATCAATCCCAGCACTCAGGAGGCAGAGGCAGGAGGATCTCTGTGAGTTTGAAGCCAGCCTGGTCTACAGAGTGAGTTCAAGGCCAACCTGTTACACAGAGAAACCCTATCTCAAAACAAAAACAAAAGTAAAACAAATAACCTCCCAAAAAATCAAAACAAAATCTCTAACTTAAAAAAAAAAATCTAAGAGAAGATACTTGATCCCCTTATTTATATGTGAGTTCTTCACTTTGTTTTCATGTTAGGATCAAGCACTGAACGTCACTGTACAAACCCTTCACCTTGACTCTGCAGAGTAGGGCATGGTAGTTTTCATTTTAGAAACAGGGGAAGTAGAGCTCAGAGTAGTCAAACAACTTCCACCAGAAACACAGTCTATGAAATCAAATTAGGATTTAAATTCATGACTCCTGAGGCCAGAGTGTGTGCTCTCGCCACGGTTTCATGCTTCTGTGTAAGGAACAACACCGCACTGAGCCTGAAGACAGTCTCTGGGACGGTCCTCTGCTAGAATGGTTGAGGGAATGCCTGTCTCAGACATAGACATGGCTTCATGTTCCTCCTTCTAAGAGAAATAAGATAAGAGAGGCATCAAAGCCCAGTGGGAAAGGCAGGTTATTCAATAAATTAGGCCAGTACAGCTCAACACAATGTGAAAAGAAGCTTTAAGTTTTCTTCCTTTGTGTGCTAAGATCCAAGTTAAATATAAATGTTGAGACAAAAAAATTGTTTTGAATATTTATCAAACTTCTAGAATAAGGATTCCCTAAACTGGGGAGTAATAAAAATTTTCAAAAGAAATGTTAACTAAATTTGACTTTTTCTTTTAAATAGAGAAAATATTTCAAAAATGAGATGGCATATTAAAAAAAATAAAAGCCAAGATGAATATCTTCAGTGAAAATGACAGACATATAATGCAGAAGCGATGACAGTGTTTTAAATCTGTGAACACAGATCAAATAGTGCCAAGTAACTTAAGACATCAACAAACAGTAGGCACAGATAATTCACACTCAACAGGCATACAGAGTTATTTCTGTGGGATTTTAAAAAAAAAAAAAAAAGCTGTTATTTTCCAAGTCAGTCTTGAGGGGTTTAAGTGCTAGGATATATTGAGGGGCATCATCAGGTTATCTTCCCGGTGAGTGAGTATTGTAGAGTGTGTGGACACAACCTAGATGGTAGAGCTGACTATACACCAGGTCCATGCTAGAACCCACTATAGAAATGCTTACAACTTTGCATTTTCTTGCTGTAAACCAACAAAGACTGGAAGTGTCACCTGCCTCCGACTTTTGTTCCACGGCCAGCACTCCTGGGCAGTAGTTCATCTCTTGTGACTGGAGTGTGTTCCACTGGACGCCTCCTGGAGGAGCGCCTGTGGCTGGCTGGCTGTTGACTGATTTTCCTTATGTAAGTAAGTGAAGTCTAAGGTCTGAATAGAGAGCATAACAGCTGCACATCCTGGGAGCAGCTGTGTGGTACCACTGTCAGCAATGCGTCTACTGCATGTCTAACAGCTAGACTCAGTAGGCTCGTTCACGCCAGCATCCACAGATGGGAGTCAGTCATGCTGTGCTGTTGTGACATCACTAGGGGGACAGGAATTCCAGTTCTGTTGTGACCTGTGACACTTGGATGGAAATATCATTGGCACCCGGCTGTACTTAAAAATTCACAGGAAAACAGGAGTTCAGAGAAAGCCTCTTGTATCCTTGCAATAATGTTATACACCTCGCTTTCAGTCTAATGAAAACGAAAATAATTTGATCAGTACAACATTTTCCTAAATTGTGGTGCTAGAGAAAACAGTTTTCTTAAACATGGAAGTCACTAATAATCCCATGTTTATAGTCTTAAACATTCTTAGTAATTTTACTTCTGGAAATGATTCTGAAAAATAACAAGGTATGTGCAAAGACATACAGATGCTGCTGCCCTAGCTTCGCAGTCTGCAGGAGCCCTTACCTTCCAATGCGGAAACTGAATTGCCCCTCTGTAACAAACAGCTGTCAGTTGAAGTCCATTCTCTCAGAGGCTTTTTCCTGGCCTGGGAACCTACTCACAATGTGAAGTAAGAAAGTGTATTGGATAAGGTACACACTGTGTACAACCTGATCCCTGCTTAAAAGCAAAACTAAAAAGTACACAACTTTTTTTTAGGTTTGTGTGTGTTTGTGTGTGTGTGTGTGTGTGTGTGTGTGTGTGTGTGTGTGTGTGTGTGTGTGTATGTTTTAAATAGGGTCTTACTCTGTATTTTATTTTTCAAACACATACTATTATCCTAAGAACATATTACTAATGTTGGGGAAAGTTATTTTTGGTGCAGTGTTGTTTGAGAAAATTTAATTTTATTTGTAAATAGTTATTACAAAACAAAACTACATGAATTTAAAAAAAAATAGGAGAGAAAATGCCCAAAGGCTTGTAGCAGTTGTTGTAGTGTGATGGGATTTTGGGTGTTACTCGCCCTTCTTTTTGTCTTTAAATTTCCGGACAGCTATTCCTGAGCTACAGTGAGGGAAGGCATCTGTGCTGAGCTGTACTCCTAGTTTAGTAAGTAAGACCCTGTGTTCTTTAGAAAGCTGTGCCGGGGGGCGTGTGCTACTGTGTCCTGGTGATTTCAGTATGAATTCATAAGCACTTGCTAAACTTGTGGGACACCAAGAACAGGTAGGAGCTAGAATCCCAAATCTGAAATGTTTCAAAGCCCAAATGGTCTGAACAACATAATACCACACATGGAAAATTCCATAGCTGACCTCATGTGACGGGTGTCAATCCAAAATCAGTTCTCTAAAAATACTTTAAAATTACCCTCAGACTACGTGTATGCGCCCATAGGGAACGTAAGTAACTTTACGCTGGCACTTTGGCCCATTTCCTGAGATACCTCATTATATTTTTAAAACTCCATTTTAAAAGTGAAAACACAGCTGCACCTGAACATTTTAGCTAATGATTTGCAACACGTATTGTTATCAGTGTGGATAAGTCAGGAAATCCTTTTGATCAGCCAGTTGGGGAGGAGGAGGCTAGAGCAGATACACGTGGTGATGAATTAATGAGTAGCACAAGTAAATAAATCATTAGCATCTCTGAAAGTCAGGGCACAGGGGAGATTCTGTTGCCTGCATGAACATTTAAGGAGTCCTGCTGGGCACTGCAGTATCTTCAGCTCAGCAGCCTTGAGTCTGGGTCTGTGGGTGGTGGGGAGACATTTATTTCCTTTAAGAAAGCAACCACCTGCTCTTAATGACTCCGGTCTCATTGACATGGCTGCCAAAACAGTATCTGAACAAACATGACACCTAAAGATGTGAACACATTGGCAGAGGAAAATCTCATGGGGACCTCAACCCTAGATGAAGAACTTGACCTACTAAGAGGTGCAGGGGCCAGATAGTCTCTCCCAGGAAAGAGTCCCCCAGTTGGTTATATAACATCACATGGTCAGTCCTGAAAATGTACATACAAGTAACGTTAGACAGTACTTTTATATGTAGGAATGTGTGTGCTTGAGTCCATTCATGCACGTGTGAGAAAGCAGTTAAAGGAAAAGAACCCATAAATTTGAGAGAGAGCAAGGGAAACACCTGGGAGGGTTAGAGGGAGAAAAGGGGTGGGGAAATCGTCTAATTATATTTTAGTTTCAAAAAATTATTTTAGAAAGAAAGAAGCTGCCATACTTGGAAGTCTTTATAGGGGATAGAGAAGACTGGATTTTAGAGGCTATTTAAACCCAACCTTGGGCTGTCACAGAAAGGCTCCCAGAGAAGAGATGTAGAATTCCCTCTGTTCCTAAAGTTCAAAGGATTCACTGATAATTAGGAAACGGCTGAGGTCCCAGCAGGTCTCCCTGGGCACATATGTGGGTGAGATGAGCAGAGCATCCCGAGCTCATGGGACCTTTGGGCATGACAGCATCTGCCTGAACTTTTTTCCATCTGGTCTGTGACTCACTGGTCAAATGAATGACAATGTTGGAGCCACCCCAGCAGGCCAGTGAAGTACCTGAGCTGACGAGGGACTCAGGAGTCCAAGGAATTATCCTGTCCTAAATCTGCCCTAATCAGGGTCAGAATTAAGATCACCTTTGCCTCCACTTCCGTAGCCCAGTGTCTGTTGGTGGCTCTGGTCTGATGTGTACACGCTCACAGGTCAGAAGCCTTGTTCAGTCTCCAAGCTCATATGAGTGGCTGGAGACTATATACAAATATTTGCTTGATTCATTCAGTGGGGTGGTAATTTTACTTGCACATAGAAGAGAAAGCACATCCCGAGTATCCAGGATCCTTCTGGATACTTCTCCATGAGTCTGGAAAATGGAGGAGCATGAGAGAAAAGTAGAGTGTCATTCTACTGAATTGTAGAGTCATGCCTAGGGCCTGAGGTTTCCTTCCCACTCATCCATGAATAAGGAGTGATCTGCCATCATGGGCATCTCTGGACCAAAACTCAGAATGTTAAAGTGATTCCCTGGAAGCAGCATGCTGGCCTCCGAATAGGCACTAGAACACCCTGCTTGAAATCAGCCATACACTGAGGAAAGTTTAGACTGGCAAGAAGCACCCTGAGAATACAAGGACATGCTTCAGTATTGGAACCTCCCTCCTCCTCAAGGGAAGAAAGCAAGGTTGTGCTTGAGATTTGTGTCACATGTCTGAACAATGTCCATGCCGGTAAATGAAGTGTCCTTTGCTGGAGAACTTCGTTTCTCACTTTGTTTTCTGCGAGGCTTGCTTCCCCTTTGAAGCTGACCTCTGCTCTATATTGCCTGTCTGCATGGGCCTGTGATCCAGTGTTTGTGCAATCACATCACTTGTGTATTTTGTTTTTCTTGAGATCGTTTTTAAATACATGTAATTTTCTTTCTGCTCTTTCACTAGGAAACCTCTGGGGACGAAAGCCGAGCCCTGGTGCACCAGCTCTCCAATGAGAGCAGGCTGTCCATCACTGACTCCCTTTCTGAGTTCTTTGATGCCCAGGAAGTTCTGCTATCTCCTAGCTCTTCAGAAAATGAGGTTTGGATGTTGTTTTCAGTCAACCAGTTCCCAAGTCTCCTTTATGTCTTTCTTCACCAGACTGCTCAGTAAAGATCTGTCAACAAAAAAAACGCTAGATTCCACGGCTCCTCCATACTATTACATTCTGAGTGTTTGCTTGTAGTGCACCCCCCCAAACACAAAGTGATGCCATACTCTAGGGAAATGTGAAATTCAGGGTGTTGGACTCTTGTTTTTGTTTCTTAGGCGTGTTGCAGTTTCCCATTGCTAGTTGTGAATTCTACCTGTGTTTTATATCCAGTGTGTTTTTTAATTGTGTTAATTTGCTTTATACATTTTATATCATTACTGTCTAACATGTTTATTATGTTAATCTATACTTATAAACATTCTTTTAGATTGAAGTATAACAAAGTCGTACTTTCTGGAATAGGCAGGCCCCACAGTTGGCATTACTATGTATGATTTTTATCCATTAAATATAGAGACATAAAAATATAGAGAAATATAATAAATACTTATATATGTTATATACTATATAAGATACAATTTTGTTTATGTACAAACTCCCATGAAAGGGTCTTTTTTTTCTACAAAGAATTAAAAAACAAGTTGCTAACTCCGTTATTCAAGTAGTAGCATGTTCTGGATATGATTTTTTATGATGACAGTAGTAATCTTGGAGTTTTTTTGTTTGCTTATTTTTCTTGTAAGAACCAAGAATATCTAAGACTGTCCTCCCTTCTCCTTCTGTCCTCTTTTTCCTTCCCTGGGATGAAACCTGGGTCCTTTGCCTCCTAGGCAAGCACTCTACCTGAACTCCCTGCCTTAGCAGTTTGCTTGTGTTTTGCTGTGAGCATCACCTAGGTAGATTGTGGAGCAGGGGAAGGTGTTCTATGAAAATAGCACCCCAATTATTTCTGTGGGTTCACAATGTGAGACACAGCATGAAAGGCTGGTTTTTTTGTTTGCTCTCTCTGTCTGTCTCTCATGCGTATTATCTCTTCTTTCCCACAGATTTCTGATGACGATTCATATGTCAGTGACATAAGTGATAATCTGTCCTTAGACAACCTCAGTAATGATTTAGACAATGAAAGACAGACCTTAGGTAAGTGGTACATTACAGGGTCTCTGGAAAGCCTGCAATGCTCTCTCTCTCCCTCCCTCCCTCTCCCTCTGCGTCTCCCTCCCTCTCCCTCTCCCTCTCTCTCCCTCCCTCTCTCTTCTCTCCCTCTCCCTCTCTCTTCTCTCCCTCTCCCTCTCTCTCTCTCCCTCTCCCTCTCCATCTCCCTCTCTCCCTCTCCCTCTCCCCTCTCTCTGTGGTCAAACTTGGGTGTCAATCTTCTAGTATCATCTACCTTACTTTTCCATAGAGTCTCACTGCCACTGGAGGCTTTCCAGTTAGGCTAGGCTTGTTTCCTGGGAGCCCAGGGGTCCTCCTGTCTCTTCTGCTTCTGCCTTCCAAGTGCTGAGATGCTGAGATTACAAATGTGCACCGCCGTGCCTCATTAAAAAAAAAAAAAAAAAACAAGGGTGCCCCTTGTATAGGCAAGCATTTTCTCTACAAGTGCAATATAGGATATGTATTCTGTCTTAAGATACCGAAGTATTGTTGTAGTTCAAGAATTTGATGGGAGGAAAAAAAATAATCTGATAGGGCATGTATAACAAAAATTCTAAGTGATAGGTAGCTTCAGATATTTAGTTCAGAATACACTCCTCGAGGTATCCTAGGCTACGCCTTCATTATTACTTAATCCTAAGGAGGAAAATAATGACCCAGAAAGATATTTTTGGAACTGTCAAGCTGGCTCAATGGGTGAAGGTACTCACTACCAAGCTTAGAGATCTGAGTTCCATCCCTAGGACCCACAAATTAAGAGAAGACTGACACCCACAAGTTTTCTGCTTTCTCTCTCTCTCTCTCTCTCTCTCTCTCTCTCTCTCTCTCTCTCTCTCACACACACACACACACACACACACACACACCACCACCTTCACACTGTGGCACATGAACATCAAATAAATAATGTGGTTTTTAAAGAAAGGTATTTGACAATACAAGTGTGGGGCCCCTGGATGTCTCACTAATCCTAAGCAGCTTGTGACTTCAGGAAGCGGAATGGACAGGTTAGGAAGATGCTCATAGAGTCAGTGCCACCAGGCCCATGGTCCTCTGCACAGGTCTCTTAACATCTGACACTCTCAGCCTTGGCATCTCGTTTGCCACCACTGAATCCTCGCCCGTTTTCATATCTACACAGATGACAGGAACTCTGCAAGACCCCTTTATTTCAGTGTCTCAGCTCAGCGAATGTTTGTGAACTGTGTCGATGGACTGTCTAAACACTACAGAGCCACTGCTTTGAAAACTCCAGGGGTGGTGGGTAACGTCCCACCATCTACAAAGCCTCCTTTCTGAGTCACCTGCTGGCAGGAAGATACTTCACTGAGTAGAAAGTCACCCCCTGATAGAAAACCCCAAAGCCCAGTGAGTTAGAAGTAAAAGGTCACAGATGTGAATGTAGGTTGTTTTCTAGGAAAAACACAGGATGAAGAAACAAAGAAACGTCATTCGCTCTCTCAATAAGCAGCGAGTGAGTGGTAGGAGCACCAAAATGCTGCTCCAGCTACAAAGGAGGAAGATGACAAAGGCTGAGGCCCCTACCGCATGTCCCAGAGGCCTTAGGGAGGGAGTCAGGGAAGCACAGAGTAAACAGGATGCAGAGGTAAAGTTTGAAGAAAGAATTGGTCCAGGATGTAGACAAAAGCTATGCTGCATCAGCAGCAGCTGAGATGCTCAAGGAGGTGGTCGGGCTTCTTCTCTAGCTTAGTCTGTGGCTGTTTAGCTTGAACATCACACAACACAAACTGGGAGGAACTTCTTTCATCTGAACTTAATACCAGAAACAGATGTCCCCAATTCTCTGTAGACATTCTCTGATGGTGACAGGGTTTCTGGACATCTTGAAAAGAGGCTTGCAGAAGTTACCTTCATATATTACAACTCAGTGTGCCTACTGAGGAAAGAAGGAAAACCCACTCTTCTATAGGTGTAGCTCAGCTGAAAGAGTACTTACTTAGCATGGGTGACATCTGCATTCTGTAGCCAGCACCATGTAAAATGAGACATGATGGTGTTCTCCTGTAATCCCAGGGTTAGGGAGCTAGAGGCAGGAGGATCAGAAATTCAAGGGCTTCCTTTGCTACATCGAGAATTCAAGTCCAGTCTTTTGAATATACAAGACTCTGTGTCAGGAAAGAAAATGAAAACAGCTAACCCCACAGCTCTCCAGCTATTACACTAGAATCCCCCAGTGCAGCAGATGCTTGGTGTTCAGGGTACTTCTTATCAGTTTCTCTTCCCTCAAAAAAGCACAGGTCACATAGCGGGACCTGCTGCTGGGCCCGATGCCACCAAAGTTAAGTAGCTGAGAATATGGAGAATATGGAAGGAAGGGAACCCTACAGCACCAGCCGCAGCAATGTCCCTTGTTGGTTATGTGTGCTGTTCCCTCCATCTGCCTCACTTTCTTCATCTATAAAATGGGGATGATAGTGCTATTCTCTTCATGAATTGATCCCAAAGAGGAAGAATAACACGTGTCAGAGGCTGAGGGTGAAGAGCGTGGCGCGTGTGAGCCATGAGTAGCATGGCCGCGGTACTACAGTAGCAGTCTTTGAAGTGTCAGACTGTAAACCAAAGAAAGTATGAGACTGCCTGCAACGATGTCTCTAAAGATGCTACCATTTTCAGCTATGGGCCTGTGCCATATTTGGCCCATATAACCAATTAAAGTAAATGTGGAACTTAACTGGGTGCCTTAATTAACATGCAACTTACACAGCATGACCCCAACTTCAGACTTTTCTGTTCATCAAAGCTGCCTCTGTTTTCAGAGGGACTGGTCATGTAATGAGTGAATGCTTAGTGTTGATGTTTAGTAGATGAGTACACACGAAAGTGATGTGCACCTATTCATCAGTACAGCAACAAGATGTCATTTGAAAAGAGATTCAGGGTAGGAGAGAGACACCACAGGGTGAGATAAAGAGGCAGGCAGTTTTACATACGTGAATGTAAGTGCTTCGTGCACCAAAACCTCCATGGACCAAGCTTAAACGTCAATGCCAACTCAGGATAAAATTATAAAAACAGATATAAAATTGTAAAATAGACATAAAAGCAAAAGGAAGGACAACAATTTATGTAGGATGGAGAAATGATCACAAAAGCATTCCAGAACATACCAGAAATGTCGCAAGTGTCAATCAGAATCAGGGGGCAGCATTTAAAACAAACAGTGATGCTGGGCATGGAGGCATGCACTTGGAATCACAGTGCTTGGGAGGCTGAGGCAGGAGAATCACAGGTTCAAATCTACCCTGGGACATATAAAAGGGCCCTGTCTGAAATTACCATGGTGGGGGGCAAGAAACCAATAGTGGCAAGCTTAGAAAGGGTTCAGAAGATGAACGTTCACAACTGATCTTGTCTTACGGAAAATGTTGTACACCTGTGGTAGTCAGGGTTTTCGTCACCGTGACAATCACCTGAGGTGAAAGCTTAGAGGAGAGAGGGTTCCTTTAGACCTATGACTTGGGAGATTTGGGCCTTTCATCATTTGTCCCCATTGTTGTGACCTGTGGTGGGTCAGAGCATAGGATGGAGAAGATGAGTGAGTACAGCAGGACTTCTCATCTCACCGCAGCCTAGAAGCAGAGGCAGGACCAACAAGCAGCCCCAAGGGATGCCCTCTCCAACCCCACCTATGGTCCTTCACTGTAAAGCAAATGTCAGTGATCAGCCCATGGGTCAGGTCAGAGAGCTCCTGATCCAGCCAGGTCTCAGGGACTGGATGTGTCAGCTGGGGAACCCTGTCTTCAACACATAGGCTGTGCATGATGGTGGGGTTGCTGTGGATCCCACATCTACTCAGGTCTTTTAATAACATTCAGATCGTATGAACCAAAAGCACTGGCAGCTTCTCTGGTCAGTCCTCATCCATATGTGCTGATAAAATGATCAGAGGTCCAGGCAAATAATTTAAATGTGTGGTATTCCATACTGTGGGTTACTGTTGGGTTTTCTTTGAGTTTTTTGAATTGTAGCTGAACATCTAGAAAAACCTCAATGGCCCAACAATAATGAGTGATTCAATACATTATTTGTCTGTACCATGAGGTAGTTTTACAATCACTAAAAGTGATATTATTGAAGAATCTAAATAACAAAAATGTATTTCAGACAGCTGAATAAGCAGAACATAAGAATGCCTGGACACTGAATAATACAGATGGAGAGTACACTAATTTACAGATGGTCCCAAGTGTAAATGAACACTATCTGAGTTGGTAGAATATTTGATGGAAATGATTTCATTATTATTATTGTTGTTGTTGTTGTAGAAAAAATACAATTTAGCCAGTAGGTAGTACACAGCTATAACCCCAGTACTGGAAATGTGGAGGCAGATGATGGTCATTTGAGACTAGCCTGGGCTACTGAATGAGACTGTATCTCAAACAAAACATCAAATGCGCAGAGTTTGTATTCAGAACTTGCTGTGTTTATGTTTTCAAATTTATACCAGTCTAACCTGCTATTGACATGGAAGCCGATTTCCATTCTTCTTCTGCATATGAAAGCAGTGAGGAACTAGTTTTTGAGTGGGACTTAACACATTTCCCCAGGAATGAAGTGCACGGCTTTTAGTGTGCAGTCTGGGGCATTTATTTACCCAGTAGTGCCGGGGAATGTCATATAAGCACATGCTCTCCAACTGAGTTTGGTATTTAATTGCTCAGAATTCTTTTGCTAATTTCTAGTTTTCCATCCCACATTGCATAACTGAATTGATTGTGAATACTTGCTAGGGAAGGTTATATTCATGAATTACTCTAAATGGTGGAATACACGCAAAAGCTTCCTGGTGTCAACCAGATTTCTTTCCTTTCAGGGCCTGTTCTGGAACGTGGTGGGGAGGCCAGGTCCAAAAGGAGGACCTGCTTGCCTGCACAGGGCCCCAACACCAGCAGTGTCAGCCTGTGGACAATCCTGCGCAACAACATTGGGAAGGACTTGTCCAAGGTGGCCATGCCCGTGGAGTTGAATGAACCCCTCAACACACTGCAGCGGCTTTGCGAGGAGCTGGAGTACAGCGAGCTTCTGGACAAGGCCGCGCGCATCCCCACTGCCCTGGAGAGGATGGTGAGGACCCACTCCCCACACTGTTATGAGCCCAGAAGCCCAAAGCCCATCCCTCATTTTGAGATGGTCCTTTCTCAGAAGTCCTACCTTCCTGGCGGTGTGCAGTTACCTCACTGGAATCTGCAGTGGGGAAGGGAAGGGAACTCCTGCAGCTGGTGGGGGGCAGGCACGGCTGCTTTTGTGCATGCTGTTTTTCTGGAAGCTTCCATCAGATGGTTCTCATAGGCTTGGCTGGAAAACATGACTTTAGGCGGTCTGTGTTTATTTTTACTACCCTGGGTGGACAGAATTTAATTTCTTGAGCTGTTTCTCTCAACCCAAGTAAATTTCCCTGGAGAATGTTTTTGTTTATTTCTGGAATTGTCCCACTTGTCCCTACGCTTTTGGAAAATATCATTCACAGAGGGCAATTTTTACACCCATTACACCAGAAGATGGCACCCCAACTACCACCCACCTTTTTCTCTCTCTTATAGAGTTATTTAAATAATCAACTTTGTTGTAAAACTCTTGAAAATATTTGTTGTAGGAACTGTTCTTCTGGCTTCCTCGTATGTGAGCTGCTGATCAGTGGACCCCTTGCCTGGGGGGGGGGGTGGCTCTGACTAAATTGGAGAGGAGCAGCGTGCCCTGGGGCTTCACAGCTTCACAGAGCTAGCAGACAACAGCCCCCCCTCTGCTCCCTGGACCCTCACCTCACCACCCCCACCTCCCTACCCCTGAGGCAGAGGATGCAGACCTCTTAGAACTCCACGTAGCCTGCGGTTCGCAGCCTGCGGTTCTCAGGCTCAGTGGATGTTCTTGGCTGCCATGATTTGGGAGCTAATGGGAACCTCAGCCCCTGGCTGAAAGAGACGCTGTCATTCTGCCCGATCCCTGGGACCTTTGTATCAAAGAGGTTTTCTCTCTTGATGCTAATGAACATGAATGCAAAAAACACAAATTGTGATTTTTGCCCTTTTTGTTGAATTTCCCCAGACAGTGTCTGCTAGAGACAGGGAATCAGGAAGCTTCTAAATCTAGTGATAAAAAGTCAACATTTATGGTGCCCTGCCCCAAAGAAAATGATTAATTTTGAACATGAAAATATTCTTTTTTTTTTTTTTTTTTTGGCTTTTTGAGACAGGGTTTTTCTGTGTAGGGTTGATGCAATTTCCAGGCCAGCATGACTTATAATATGAGATCTTGTCTCAAAAACAAAGGGAGAATAAGAAGGTTTTTAGGCAAAACTAAATGGCCCCAGTGCAACCTCAGAGCAGAAGCCACAGCTGGGGTTTCCTCTGTAGGCACACATTCGCCTGTGGAGCTTCTTTGTGTCACCAAAGGGGAGATTTTGTTCTGCCTGACCCTCCTTACTGTCCAGCATCATGGCTGGTGCTGAGTTCTTTAGTCTGCTGTATTTTGAGGTCCTCCCCAAAGATGTATTAATGTATTTGTATGAGTGTGTGTGCTTGAGTGAGTTTATATGCAGTGTGTGTGTGTGTGTGTGTGTGTGTGTGTGTGTGTGTGTGTCTCAGAACTTTCAAAGGCCAGGAGAGGATGTCAAATGCCTGTTCCAGGAAGTAAAGCAGTTTGTGAACCACCATGTGGGTGCTGGGAAGCAAGGTCTAATTTTCTACCAGAGCTGTAAGTGCTCTTGACAGGTAAGGCAACTCTCCAGCACTGTATTTTACATTTTAAAGGAGGCTCAAGATGTTTGGCATTCTACAGAGATTGTGCAAGCTTCCAGTTCTCTATGCCAAAAACTGAGGGGCAGAGAGAGAGAGAGAGAGGCGTGTGTCTCAGGAATGCAGCACAGACAGATGGGAGATGGCTGTTTAAGGATGAGGCCTGAGTTTAATCCCCAGCACACTTGAGAAAGCTGGTGGAGTGGGAAACCCTTAGACATGGAGGGTGGCGGGACAGGTGGGTTCCTGGCGCTTGCTGGCCAGATGATATCCCATGTTCAGTGAGAGATCCCGACTCAAAAAAATATGGTGGGGAGCAACTGCAGAAGATAGCTGAGCTTGACCTCTCCTTTCCACATGCAAGCTTACACACGTGCACATAACACATATGCGCACACACACACAGTTATAGATGGCATTGAGTTGAGTATAGCAAACCTCATAGGATGTTCAGAGAAGAAGAATATTGAGACTTTTACTATCTGGTATCAAAAAGAAATCTCCATGTTACTACTTTCATATAATGTTGGGGGGGGCAAAATACAGACAAGAGGATTTGTTTCCATTGATGCTCCTAAAGAGGAACTGAACAGAGCTGGAGAGATAGCTCAGGGGTTAAGAGCACCGACTGTTCTTCCAGAGGTCCTGAGTTCAGTTCCCAGCAACTACATGGTGGCTCACAACCATCTGTAATGAGGTCCGGTGTCCTCTTCTGACCTGCAGACATACATGCAGACAGAACACTGTATACATGATAAATAAGTAAATCTTAAAACATAAAATGAACAACATGCTGGAATTGGAATGTCTAAGTTCAGGAGAAGATTTTGCTAATCCCATTTGTGCATATAGTTTATTCTTCCTCTCTTCTTCTCCCTCTTCCCTCCTCCTCCCCATCCTCCTCTTCCTCTTTCCTCCCTTCTCCCTCCTCTTTTCCCCTTCCTCCCTCATCCTCTCGCACCCTCCCCCCTCTCAATTGTCCTTCCAGAAAGGCAGAACTTCCAAGTGCCTCTAGCCTGTTACTTCTCAGAGTACAATAATGACTCACATTTCCTTTGGTCACCATGAGTTTAAGTCTTCAAGTTTTCCACAGCGTCAATTGGTGACTAGTTAGATGTACTGTGCGTATTTCTGAGTTGGGGGGGGCTCTTTCCTGTGTACATCATCTCCCTGAGATCCCCGTGTTGGGATAGCTGACACTATCTGGCTGCCAGTAGAGAAGTTAGCAGTGACACGCTGTTGGATGAATTTTATCACCTCAATCAAGTCATGCCTTCCAGGTTTCAGGCACCCAAAGAAATGGGCAGTTTAAACCTGGTTGATTTGTCTCTGGGCCCAAATGAGCACTATTTAAACCTACAATCGTAAACCTAAGTTGGTCGAGTTGTCTTTAAACCAACGACAGAGGCTTGCCTTTCTGAAATAAACATAGGTTTTACTTCTTCATGACAGATTCTTGGTGACACAGAAGTAAGCTAGTCCTTTCCTTCCTCTCCAGGTGTATGTGGCAGCCTTCGCCATCTCTGCATATGCATCCAGCTACTTCCGAGCTGGCAGCAAGCCGTTTAACCCGGTCCTTGGAGAAACGTACGAGTGCATCCGACAGGACAAGGGTTTCCAGTTTTTTGCTGAGCAGGTGATGTGCACCCTTTGTGTTTGTCGAGAGAATTGCCTGTGTCTCCTATTAAATGTGCTTTTGAAATATTCATTTCTCCCTTTCACTGGCTTCAAAAGGACTGAGATAATTACAGGCTTGGTGACAGGAAGCCAGGATCTGTTTTTTCTCGATGTAAGCTCAGCTACCACCCACCGCACACAGGCCTCGGTGGATCGAGCACCTGCCTGGTTACACGAAGTAGCAACATTCCTTCTCCTTCAGGTCCTTAGCAAAAGGAAGTGGCAAGGCACAGGCCTCTGCCCAGAGTGTGACTTGGAGAAAAACTCTGGAGCCTGACTGCCCCTCAGAGTGGGCGTTGCTGTGTCAGTGCAATGGCGTAGAATTTTACTTAAGAGGAACACTTGTGCGTGTGTTTACTATTCAGAGCAACAGGTCATGTCCCTCTCTTTTCGACGTTTGCTGTGTGCCTGGTACTATTACAGATGGCTCAGACCCTGAAGTACACTGGGGACACTGCACAGATAGACAAGAGTCCCTATCTAATGGATGGCGTGTCCTTAGATGGCCTGAGGTCCATTAGGCCCTTCCATCACACAAGTTAGCATGGAAGGCTCAGGAGCCAAACTGCTCACATTTGAAGTGCAGTTCTGTTTGGTCCCCACAGGCTGTAGAGCTCAGGGAAAGTGGAGGTGATCCATCATTTGTGTCTCCTGTGGTCCTAACGCAGGGTCTGGTCTATGAAGTGTGACTGTGTGTCAGGCATTGGAGAATGAATTTCCCGTGTGTTTGCCCACGTGGACCACTCCTTCAGCTAAAATTGAATAAGTACCTTTAGAAAGATGAAAAGCACCCTTTCGGGAGACTATTCATCATTGCTCTGATATATTCCTCTTCCAACTCCTAGAAAACTGTGGCTAAAGAGGGAGTGTGAGTTGCTAAATATTCTCTCCCTTCTGGTTATTTTTGTCAATGGATTTGCACCATGGGGACTGGGGGAGGAGGCGTAGTTAACTTGGCTTTTCTTTGCTTTTTGTGTCCCAACGCCTACCATCCTTTGTCTTTCTTTTTCTTTGAGATAGGGTCTCACTACATATCCAATCCGGTCTCAAACACATACTCCTCTTTCCTCGGCCCCCCAGTAAAGGGATTACAGGTTCACAACCACCCTGCCCAGCTCCCTAGAAACTGGTGAATGCCATGCTTGCCATAATGCAGTATAGGCTGGGTGCAGTCATGCCTGACTGCCATCCTGCTGTCTAAAGGCCTCATGTAGGAGGGTTGAGAGTTCAAGGCCAATCTTGGCTTCACCAAGAGTTCTGGACCAGCTTAGGCTTTGTAGTGAGACCTTATCTCGAAAAAGACAACACATTCAAAATGCAGAACGAGTTCCTCTGGAACTCAGAGGAAAGTGAATCTACAAAAGCCCCAGAGCTTATCACCAGTGGTGGCCAGAATTTACCTTCTGGAGAAGGTAAATATTGCTTAATATGAGAAGATGGGAGCTAAGTCAGTAGTTAAGGGGATCCAGTGAGCTGTCTGATTTTAATTCAGCTGGGTTATTTAAATACTGAATTTAAAATGGAAGGAGAATAAAAGAAAACATGATTCGGTTACCATGGTGTTATATGCACTCTTGTTAAGGAAAAAAAAAAAAAATGAAGGCCCAAAATAGCCCCAAACTACAGCTGACAATCAGAGCAGAATGAAGAACTCTCCAGGAGGGTAACATGAGCTGTGGAAAGGTGGCTGAGTGCAGTCCTTGGAGCCCTGAGGGGTGGCACCAGTTCCAGGATCTGCCAGCACATCTACTGTGGGGCTCGGAGAGGAGGACCAGGGCCCACGGACAGGTGCCCATGTACCCAGATCACCAGAGAGTTCCAGAAAATGTAGTCTTTGGCTACATGAATTAGATCCCAAGGCAAAAAAGCATATGGGCATTTTCTGAAGCATGCGGTGTGCCCTGTGTTTGCTCAGCAGACACCTTGCAGGTCCTTGGAGCCTTTGTCTTTATCCAGTGGCAATGGCAGTAGTTGGCCCATGGCGTGAAAGAAAGGCTGCCGTGACAATAATTCACTCATGGTTAATGGTTATCCCTCTTATAATTAGAGGAAAGTTTAAAACAGCTTTAGAATGTAGAGAATAGTTTAAGAAGAGTGATAAAAGCCTAGGAATTAATTACAACAAGATACATTGTATCTCCCTGCTAGCACAAGAGGCTGAGTGCCTCGGGTGAGATGAGCCCTCAGGCAGCCATATGCTGGCTTTGCTGGCTTTACAACCTGAAAGTAGTGGAGCCATAGCATCTGTCTGGGTTTTAGCCTTCTGGCTCAAATAGCTGCTGCTTTTAGTGCACCGAAGAAAAGCTGAGCTTCTCAGGACAAAACTGGGATGCCACCACGGTATGCATTTGCTGGGGCCCAGGTGGATTTGCCCACTAGGAGGGACTCACTGTGTCCCGGACACGGTGTGCTGTGTGTGCTGCAGCTGGTGAGGGGCGGGGCTCGCTGTCCCGCTGCATGACTACAGTGCCAGCCTCTCACCTGCTGACACGTTTTCCTTCTCTGCTGCTCACCGAAGAATGCTGAGCTTCTGTCCTCTGCCCTGAGCTCCTGTCCTCTGAGCTTCGGTACACTCAGCTCTCCTGCCACCTCCCCCTGGCTCATTCACGTCCCTTCTCAGAAGCATATTCCTCTCCCTAATAGTGGCCGGCTGTTTACTCCTGATTAACACTGCATTTTCCTCAATGACTATAGCAGAGGGGAAATCCAAGCTGTTCAAATAAAGCTTGAGAGTACTGCTGCTCGGCCATGGCTTTGTGCCCCTCCGTGTTTCTGGGCCACGTTATCACTTAAGTTGTCCCGTCCCCACCCCTCCGCCACCTCCACACACACCAGCCATGTCCCGTCCCCACCCCTCCGCCATGGGGGTGGGGGACACTCAAAGGCCCTGATTCTTGCTGTGTTCTGCCTGTGGTACCCTCACCCGATAACTTTAGGCCTTCTTATTTCCCTGAGCCAAGTAGGTTTCCTTTGTCACAGTCTTGCCCAACCCTTCCTGTGTCCCATCCTTCAGGTGCTGCTGCACCTCTCCTAACACTTACCACTGTTGACAAACTGGTACTGTGTGTGCTGCCTCTCTCAAAAATATAGGCTCTCTGACACATCACAGGCACTTAGCCGGTGTCTGATGAGTGACTTGTAGAAGGAATGGCCCCTTGGCCCCTCTCGAGTAGAGTTTATACTCAATACTCTGCCATGTGTTACCTACACTGGCGATGGTGTCAGAACTGGGAAGTGTGTGGCTGGTCCCTGACAGTTTCAGGGAGAGACTGTGGCATATTTAAGGGATATACTTCTTCTAAAAGAACAAACACACAAATACTAAAATACATTTTCCTCTTCTGCTTCTGTGCCCATCTGCCTCCTATATGAAGTATAAGCAAAGCATAAACAAAACGTGATTGTCTCACACAGACAAATGTGAGCTGCTGTCTCACATAGACAAATAAAGTATACATTGTAAAAACTGTCCGCTGTGTTGGGACTTGCAGAAAAGACTACATAGACATACTTGTGGTAAATGTGACTCACTGCTTCTTGCACACTTGGGGTTCTAACTAGTGAGGGACTGCTCTTCCTTGGCTGGAGAGGAAGTAATAGGCAAGAGTACTGAGACCAGGTTAAATTCTATTTACCCAGTAGGCATCGTCATCGCCTCCTCTGGGGCCAGATCAGGCCACATTCAAAGGCATCTACTGCTTGTTTGCTTTTTATTTTAGTGTGTGTGTGTGTGGCACACTCATGTGTCTTTAGATACCCTTGGAAACCAGAGATCCGTTGGAGCTGGAATTGCATGTGATTATGAGTTGAGAATCAAACTCAGGTCCTCTGTAAGAACAGCAAGCACCCCTAGCTACTGAGTGCTCAGTTCAGGCCCCTTTGCATGCAATCTTACTTTTTCCTGGCTTGAGATGTAGTAATAATTAGAGGCTGAGGTTATCGTGGTATTCAGGATGCTAAGGCAGGAGCTTAGCTAGCCTGACCTACCTATTGAGCCTGTGTCAAAAACAAAAAAGCATCAAGACTAAACAATGAGCAAAGGCACAGCAGTTGGTGCCTCCTCTTCTTCATACGGTTAAAGATTAAGTCTCAACTGTGAATGAGCCCTTTCTGTAGGCATTCAAAATTGTGAGCCCTAGAACCAGATTTTCAGATTGCCTGGTATCTTCTAGTGTTTACCTCTGAAGATATTGAGAGCAGATGTTAGCATCCGTGTTTTGAAGTCAAAACAGTTTCTTTGACTTCATTTTACAAAGAAATAAATGCAACACAGAGAGGCTAGAGAGGTCAGATTCAAAAGGTTTGTTTATCTTTAAGTGGCCATGAGAAGGCAATTTAACGTGTGCTGCAGTCTGAGGAGGCACAGGAGCCGTCTTTGGAAGCAATCTCTGCTGGGTGCACAGAGCGAACACTAGGTGGATGATGAGATGCTTCCCATCATCCGGGGAGCCCTGGGCAGCAGGCTCTGTGCTCAATGACCCTGTTTCCTAACTTATAAACAAAGGTTAATGAAGGCAAGGGGTTACTGTGTCTTCGTGAAACAATTAAAATTCCATACCTTCCAGGCCAGCAAGAAGTGACTTGGTATAAAGGTGCCTGCCTCCAAGCCTGATGATAAAGTTCAATTCCTCTGGCCCACAGTGTGGGCTGGGATTGTGGGTGGCAGGACCCGTGATGTATGGCAGGTGGATGGGGAAACAGAGACCTATAGACATGACTCGTATTGATAGTTTTATTGAGGTGGAGGTAAAAAAATGAAGGAAAGAGAAAATAGATGAAGAGACACAGAGACAGATGGGGACAGACAGAGTTGCCTCCCAAGAGACAGAATGGAAGAGAAGAGAGTGCATGGAGTTTTTCTTTTAAAGGGTCCCTTTCACCTGCATGCAGACTACGTAGTGATACAGCAGCCATAGAAGCCTGGGCTAACCAAGATATTGCCTGAGTGCATTCTGTCAGGTGATGGAGCAGGCCAGCACAATGCCTGAATTCTTACATTCAGGATCACATTGACTCATACAAGTAGTCTTATGAGCTCTATATACTAATACACAGTAAACAAACAAATGTAAAGGAAATTTAAAAACCTAAAACCATCTTTTGGATCCATTTAAAGACAGTTGGCTGAACACTGTTAATCTACTATAGTGGTTTAAAAGATTATGCCAGCATTCTTGCAAAATATGTATGTACTTCCTAATATCACAAGGTCCCGCTAGTTCCTATGGGCAGTAATGTATCTCCATTTTATAGGATTTTAAATAATTATAGAGCAGGCAGGCAGATGCTGTTTGTATATAGCAGTTTGCTTTTATATTTACACTTGGTGGTCCCTATAAATGTACAAAGTTCTTGATGACGTCTGTATTGCTCCCTCCCACATTCCATGATTCCTTGCTCACTCCAGTGGGACATGTCAGGTAGGTAGAGAACTGTGGTTGGAGGAGGACAGCCTTATTCCAGTTTAACTGTATGCCATCCTGTGGTTTAAAAGTCAGCTAGACTTTTCTGAGAGCTCTCATGGGAGGAAGGAGGATGATAGAGTACTTTGTGATACAAAGTATTGCCAAGTAGTGGAACTTTTAAAACTGGCGACAAAGATAAGCAGATGGTTTCTTTGATTATAGGAGTTGGGGCCCTAAAACAGTGAAAATTTCTGTCCAAAGCCGCAGAGAAAAGCAAGGGCCTTGTGACATCAGATAGCACGTGGGTAACTAAGAGACATCAAGCAGCAGCAGGGTTCCACCTCCTACATCCCATAGCAGGGATTTCAGTTCATTGAGTAATCTGAAGGTGTGGATGCTATTTCTGTCTTTCTCTGCTTTCCTGTCAGTTAAGGTTGTGGCAGGGTGCCTTTAGCTCTGCAGCTCTCCACATACCGGGTACTTTACAAAGCAGATCCTCAGCATGGGTGAGCCAGAGTGAGCAAGAGTGAGTGGCTGTGGACCTGTCACCCATACACACACACACACACACACACACACACACACACACACACACCTCTCTTTACACACCTGCTTGGTTCAGATAGAAGTACTGAGTGGTTAATGTGATATCTGAGACAGCTCAGCTACTTTTTTCCTGGTCTATAACCACTGACGCACACTGATACTCTGTGGACTCTCTGAATGCTGTGGTTTGGGAAACTTGACCTATCTGGTTTCAGCCTGCATCCTGTTATAGGGAAGGCCTTAAGTAGACATTCCAAATAGAAGATAACCTCTGCTAACAGCTACTGAAATCAGAGAAATTTCTGGAAGCTCACTGCCATCCTCCACATCCCCCCCCCCCCAGTACTGATCTGTGAGAACAGCTCAGGGTCCTGAGTGCTACTGAGATAAAGGAGGGATGGAACACAGCTTCCGTCTTGTACTGAGCTTCTTGATTGATGGGTAAAACAAGCAATGGCGCTCCCTGTCCCACCAGTGGCGATCTCTGTTTTGAGGATCAGCCCTTCTAGGACGTAATTACTTACTCATTCAAGATTGTTTCTATATATCTTGATGATAGACTAACACTTTCTCTTCTTTTTGAGCATGTGTGTTTGTGAGTGTGTGTGCATGTGTTGCATGCGCTCATGTGTGCGTGCGTGCGTGCCTGTTAGTATGTTGGCAGGTGCATGTGTGGGAGTCAATAGAAAACCTTATGTGCTGTTCCTTAGGTACTCATCAAGTAGATGGGTTGGCCGGTGAGCCCCAAGGACCTGTTTGTCTCTGCTGTAGTGCGAGGGTTACAAATGGCAGCTGGCACACCCAGCTTGCTTGCTTCTCCTCCTCCCCCCTGCCCTACCATTGTGTTCTCGGTCAACATTCAGGTCCCCATACTTACACCGCAATGGTTTCATGGACTGAGCCATCTCTATACTCCCAACACATTTTCCCCCTTAGCACCTGATGAACTTTCTTCAGTGGCTATGGCTAGCTTTGCTTTACAGACACATGATTCTTAAGAGTTATCTTCGGGGCCAGTGCAATGGCTGGGCTGTGAGGGCACTGGCTCCAAGACTTAGGACCTAAGCTCCATCCCTAGAACACACAGGGTAGGAGGTGAGAACTGGCTCCCACAAATTGTCTCAAGCTTCCACCGATGAGCCATGGAACATGAGTGTATGTGTGTGCATGCATACACACATGCACAATAAATGAATGGATATATTTTTAAAAGTAAAGAAAAAGAACTATCTTAGATTGACCATATCAGTGACTTAGGAGCCTGGACTTCATGATTCGGTTTTCTGAGCCGGGGGCATATTTTTATGTTACTTAGAAGTAGCACACTGAATAGTTGATGCTGGCAGCTTAGTTAAAATGCTCACAAGTCTTTTCACGGCATGTCAAACACAGTGCTGGCCAAGGAAAGAGCAGTTCTCCAGCGTTCCTGTTTTTATTTTACACTGTTCAAATCATGCTTATGTCCACATCACTTCAGGCTGGGCCATGCAGCCAGGAAAGCTTCTGGAGGCTTCCATTCATAGCTTCCTTCCCACCTACCCAGGGGAAGGGGGAGCTGGCTATATCAAGACTGCCCCCTTCAGGGCACACTTGTTCAAGCTAAAACACTGCTCTTGTGGTCACAGCTCAGCTCAAGGGAGAAGGAATGGCTTCCCAGGCATAACATTTCCTCAAATTATGTTTTTTTTTTTTTTTTTTTTTTTTTGTCCTGTGTCTCCATCAGGTCAGCCACCACCCACCTATCTCCGCCTGCCACGCTGAGTCTCGAAACTTCGTTTTCTGGCAAGGTATGTGCTGATCCGTTTGATCTCCAGGGACTGCTTGATGCTTGCCAAAGTCAAAAGCGGTCTTAGACCTGCTCTTCATAGAGAGTTGGCCGGCCTGAAACGCTTGCTAGCTTCTCCCACCTGAATAACAGTTGACACATAACACATACTCGTTGACAGCATGCTATTTCAGTGATTGATATGAATACTAAGAATTCAAGAGATTGCTTCTTTCATTCTTTTTTATTTTTTATTTTATTTATTTATTTATTTTGTTTCTTAAACTTCTTCCATGTTTACCTGCATCACCTGTTCTTGGAGCTTTCCCTCCACCTTACTCTATAACTTCTTGAAATGCCTCACTTAACTTCAGCATTCCCGGCTATTAGCAAAGTATAGACAGCAAATGGGTTTCTTGATTTTTAACAATTTAAATTTGTTTCCAGAATTACATTTGACACCTCTGGTTTCTCTTCATCTTTGTTCTCATGAACTTTTTTAACCCACTGAGCTTTCATTTTGTGTGTGTGTGTGCGCGCGCTTGCGTGTGTGTGTGTATGTGTGTGTGTGTGTGTGTGTGTATGTGTGTGCGTGTGTGTGGATCAGATCATAACTAACAGGACTGGGCTTTCTCCTGTCATGGGGGTCTGAAGGACGGGACTCATGTCATCGAGCTGGGTGTCAAGCATCTTGTCCTGCTGAACTGTCTCACTGGCCCCTTGTTTTTGTTGCTCAATGCCGTTTGGAGGTTTTCTTCTGTGTTTGGTGTGCTTGTTGCCATCTTTCTTTGTTTTGATTTAGTCTGGCTCCATTTTTGCTGCTCTCAAGATCATAACCCAAAGGTTTGGGGAGGCAGGCTCTTCTACCACTGAGCTGGCCCTTTTTACATTTTCAGGGCTTTTTTTTTGTATTGATGTTCCTAAAACTTTCATCTGGAGATGGAGGAGGCGGCAAGTTGTTCTAAAAATAGTGTTCTGTGACATGATTAATTAAAAACCCAGAGACAGATATTGGGGTTCAAGCTGAAGATTAGAGAAGCAAAGCAACCACGCTACCAGAGAGCTCCCACCTCTATCTGGGGTGACCCTGACCTCAGTGTGGCTGGAGACTAATTGCCAGAGTACTGAATACTGAATGCCCACTCCAAGACTCTGTTCCTGCTTATATAACTCTCTAGTGCTGGGATTAAAGGTGTGTGTCACCACTGTCTGGCCTCTGGCTGTGGTTAGCTTTGCACTCTGATCTTCAGGAAAGCTTTCTTAAATCATAAACAATATGTCACCACAATGGTCCCCATTTCTCCTACATGATTTAGTTTTGATAAGTTTTCGCTTGTTAAAAAGATTGGTGTACAGTAAGAGTATCCCAGGTTTTCAAGAAGTTGGGCACACATCATTTAAAATATACATACAGTTTTGTTTGTTGAAGACAAAGGCTCGTGTAACCAGGACTAGCCTGGAATTTTCTATATAAACTCTGATGACCTGGAACTTCTTAACCTCAGGCTTTACCTGAGTGCTGGGCTTACAGGCACACCTCACCACACCTGGTTTATGCAGCGTGGACTGAGCTTAGAGCCTCATGCATGCTAGGTATGCAATTACCAACTGAATTATGTCCCCAGCCCCTAGTCAATTTTTAAAAGCATTTCCTTTATTGATGTCTCCATTTGGTTCCCATGTGATCTTTATACATATGTACATATGTGTATATCTTTGTGAGATATGGAAATACAGGAATACACTGTAACACTTCCCATTCTCCTGGTCCATTATCCACTTACTCTGTCTGGATCCAATTGATAGTACCAGTTAAAAGTTAAAAGTAAAGTGTTTCTTTTCTTTAATCTTTGTTATTGATGCTTATTGTTAAATATTGAAGATTCATCTGAGATTTCTCTACTTTTCACCAAAACTTTCTTATAGCAAGTCTTTCTCTGTCCTGCCAGCTCCCAAATAATGACACAGAGATTTCTTATTAATTATGAAAAGCTTGGCCTTAGCTTGTTTCTAACTAGTTCTTGTAACTTAAATTAACCTATTTCTATTAATCTACATGCTATCACATGGCTCATAGCTTTTACCTCTCCTCCTGCATGTCCTGTTTCCTCTGCAAACAACTGTTGACTCCTTTCTTCTTCCCAGAGCTCTCTTTTGAATTCCCACCTGTTTCTTCTGCCTAGCTGCTGGTAATTTAACCTGTTATTAAACCAGTCACAGTGACACACCTTTACACAGTGTCATCTAAATATCTCACAATACCCTTTGAAAACGTTTCTTATAGGGCTCCTTAGCTCCTATATGATAAATCTCATTGGCCTTGTAAGTGCTTCTTAGTTGTTTTTACAAAACTCTGCATTTTTGTTTTTAACAAGAGTATTTTCTCAGAATAGCCCTTGGCAGCTCTTTCCTCCTCACCCTTTACTGGGTGATTCCACCTATCCCTTGGTGTAGGATCTTCTAATCTTCCTCGTTTCATCTCACACTTCTCTGCCCTTTAACTGGTTTTTTTAGATCATTTACATTTGTTGTGATTATAGATGTAGGTGACTCAAATATGCCTTATTATTTAATTAGTCAAATCTATTCCTTGCTCCCCCTTCTCTCTTTTTAATGCACTATTTTGAATTAGTTGAATACTTTCTATATGTCCATTATCTCTTCTATTGATTATTACCTATAATAATAGATAATACCTCAAGATTATGAATCTTTAAGGTATTACAGTCTGCCATCAACTGGCACTGTTATATGCCATTTTAGATGTAGTAGGAAACATAGCCAAGTAAACACAACCTTTGTGAGATGCTGGGTGTGTGTGTTACAAATTCAGCCACGCATTGTCATCTCTGCTGAAATCCAATTCAGTTCCCCCTTTTTCAGCTTTCTAACCAATTTTATGAAGAAATACTCACATACCATATTGTTTACCCACTCTGGTTTTTATTAGCAAAATGAATTTTAAAATCATTTCATTACTCCAAAAACAGCTTCTTTAATGATTCTCCTACAGCTTCCTTCAAAGTCACCATTTCCAGTATTTCATACAGGAAGCCACCCACCTCTGTCATCTGGACCGCGGCCATAGTCTCCCAGCCTCCTTCATCCCTGATGGTTTCTCTCTCAGTGCAGCAACTAGACAGAGCCCGCTTCCCCTCTGGTTCTCCTTGTGTCCTCTGACACTACTTATAAATGCCCCCCCCCGCCTGTGTGTATCTACTGCTCCATTCTCCACCTTTCTTCTTCCTCGTGAGCCCCCCACCCCCCCCACCCCCGCACCATAGTGGCTGGCTTGACTCACTTCACTCCTGCATATCCCCTGAGCAGCCACAGCAGCCCGATCTCTTATCCCCTTGCTTTTAATCGCCTGCCCATGCTCTCTTCTCTGTATGGCTTTGACCTTTTTTTTGCAAGGTTTTTTATCTAATCTCACTGATTTCCTGATTCTTTTCATCTCAAAAAAGACTTCTTAGCGAAGCTGGCAGGCTGTTTCCTCAGCCTGACCTACTACACTTCTCTTGCCTACAGGTCAGAGCCACACTTGACTCTTTCGCGCCTCTGACCCTTTAAATACTATTTATTTTCCCAGTGCTGATTGCTCTAGGTTCCACGGACTCATTTGTATTCTACAGAGCCCTACTTGAATAGCCCTTTCTTTCTTTCTTTTTTTTTTTTTTTTTTTTTGAGTTATACATTTCCACCACTCCCCTTCCCTCCTCCCCTTCAACCCTCCTCCCTACACCCCACATTCCTGTAAGGCGTACGGTTTTTCCTCCCGCAGCCTGGTCTTGTCCCGCCACTGCGCCAGCCCCAAATAATGCACAGAGACTCTGTATTAGATACAAGGCTATTGGCCAGGTGCTAGTTTCTTATCAGCTAGCTCTGTCTTAAGTATTAACCCATTTCTGCTGATCTATGTATTTCTCTTACCAGGGAGCCGGCCGGCATACTGCTTTCTCCCACTCTCCATCTTGACTCCTCCTTCCTACTTCCTCTTTCCTCCTTATCTCCTAGTCCCTCCTATCTTCCTTTCCTATTGGCCAGCAGTGCTTTATTTATTAACCAGTATAAGAAACATTTACAGAATGACATCTCCCATCACATTCCCAATTTACTCAGGAGGTCTTGTCTTTTTCTCCTTCCTAGGCAGAGCCATGTATGTGTCTCCTAGGCTCCTCTTTGTTTCCTAGCTTCTCTGGGGTTGTGACCTGTAGGCTGATTGTCCTTTGCTTTATGTTTAATATCCACTTATGAGTGAGTACATACCATGTTTGTCTTTCTGGGTCTGCATTACCTCACTTAGGATGGCTTTTTCTAGATCCATCCATTGGCCTTCAAATTTCTAGATGTCATTGGTTTTTTTTTTTTTTTTTTTTTTTTTTTTTAACCACTGAGTACTCCGTTGTGTAGATGTACCACATGTCTTTATCCACTCTTCAGTTGAGGGGCGTCTAGGTTGTTTCCAGGTTCTGGCCATAGTTGAGCAAGCGTCCTTATGGTATGAGTGAGCATCCTTTGGGTATATGCCCAAAAGTGCTATTGCTGGGTCTTGGAGTAGATTGATTCTCAACTTTCTGAGGAACTGCCATACTGACTTCCAAAGTGGCTGGGCAGCATTGGAGGAGTGTACCCCTTGCTCTACATCCTCTCCAGAGTTTTTTGTCTTAGCCTTCAGGGACCCTTTCTGACTGGCCTCTTTGATGCTGCAGCACACTGAGGACAGCCCGTGTCTGTGTGACCGTGATGTATCCTACATAATCCCAATTACATGGATTGCCTGAAGAACCGAGTTCACCGAGAAAGAACACAGAGCAGGGGTCATCGGGAGCTAGGTGGAGGGAAGGCTAGTGTGTGTGTTGTGGGTGTAAAGCTTCTGTTGTTTTCACCTTGCCTTTGTACTGCTGACTCTTTCAAGAGGACTTTGTCTTACAACTTTGCTTTCCTGATTCTGTTTTGGGTACCTACCCATTTCTAGTGCATGGACAATTGTTTCCATTAAAACTAATTCATCTATGGCAGTTATAGGATGACCAGTTATTTGTCAAGCCTGAGACCTCTGCTCTATCTAGCTGTCTTATTAAATATGCGATATTTGATATTTTGTTTCAGATGTGAGATGGAAAAATAAATTCTGGGGTAAATCCATGGAAATTGTCCCAATCGGCACAACCCACGTGACTCTGCCAACGTAAGTTCCTCTTCATTAGGAACATCAGTTCTCAGGCCAACAGTCCATGTTAGGAGAGCTATCCAGGCTGCCGCCATGTTCCAGGCATGGAGATGCTTTTCTCTCTCCATCTGTCAGTGGGTTCAGGTAGCCTCCTCCTGGCAGGCTCACTGTCTAGTATTTTCTCTCACTGTATGGAAATGCCTCCTTCAGACAATAGCTCTCTGAGCGGAAGATGCTAAAACTCGTTTCTGTTTCCCTCCAAAATAAAGGGTTATTTTTCTTTATCACTGTGGTCCTGCCTTACTGACAGAATTCCCTCAGAGACAGACATGGCTTTGGTTATGCTGGCATCATCAGCTGGTGTTTTTAAATAAAGTGGTGGTGACTGCAGGACTCTGGGCCAGGCTGTGGGATCACATGCTGCTGCGTCCCTATCTCCCGTGACTTGGTCAGGCTGCCACACCTGCCTTGTCACAAGTGCCCTCACCTGCCTCTTAGGACACGTGGGAAGACCGGACACATATTATGCACCAAGCACTTCAACCCGTGCTTGCTTTTTCCTCACAATTGCTACTAATAACATGTGACTGCTAGAGCGAGGCAGCCTGCCTCCAAACCACTGCATCCTTCTGCCAGTTTCCCTTCCAGAGCTGGGTAGTTTGCCAGCTCAGGAGCCTCTGCTTGAATGCCACTTGGAGCTTTATTTGAACCAGGGTCTGCAACTGAAAGATGAGTGATCGGTCCCCTACCTTGTTGTGTAACGTGGGATGGCCTGCTGCATCTGTGGCTGGCTCCTGTGGGAGCCCTCTTTGAGTTCCTCCTCTCTTTCAGTTTTGGAGATCACTTTGAGTGGAACAAAGTGACCTCCTGCATCCACAACATCTTAAGCGGACAGCGGTGGATCGAGCACTATGGTGAAATTGTCATCAGGAACTTGACGGATGACTCCTGCCACTGCAAAGTGAACTTCATAAAGGTACCTTGTGGGAGCCAAGTTCCAATGCTGGAGGGCTGAGGCAGCGCCAGGTTCCCAGAGCACAGGCTGTCTTCCACTCTGTCACGTGACTGGGATGTTGACCCTGCCTGCCTCCCCTACCATCTGCCCTCAGTGTGGAGCCTGGGGGACTCCTTTACAAGATGTCATCAGACAGACACAAAGATAGGTGAAGGCATTATGCTAAGTAGACAAACCAGACATGAAAAGATGTAGTCTACATGGTTCTCCAGAAGAGGCAAGTTCACAGAGAAAGAGAACAGAGCAGGGGTCATCGGGAGCTAGGTGGAGGGAAGGATAGAGACTTTGTGTGTCGTGGGTTTGGAGCTTCTGTTTGGGAAGATGACAAAGTTCTAGAAATAGAAAGTGGTGACAGTTGGGCAGCATTGCATTTAAGAGTAGTTGACATCAATCCAGGCTTGGTGGCATGTACCTGTAATTGCAGTGCTCAAGGCTTGTGAATTGTGAGTCTGAAAGCAATCTGGACTGTCATGAAAGAAAGGACTTGGGGAGGGGACAGCTATGCTTGTGTGTTTGCTGTGAGGAAGGCCTGGCCAGCCATTCCCTTAACAAAGCATTCCAACTATCAAGTGGAACTCTGCATCCTCTCAATAGCCCACAAGGCTCTGCAGCATCAGCACTGCCAGCTCTCACCCCTTGGAATGCACATGCATCCTCGGTACACGCATGCACACACACGCACACGCGCGTGCGCGCACACACACACACACACAGAGAGACCCTCATTCCTCCCCAGCCCCAGCCCCAGCCCCTGCACTTCCCTCTCACTCCTGTCTGCATCCTCAGCCACTGAGCACACTGGCCCTTCTTTCCTCATTTCCTCCTCTCTGGCCTCCTTTCCCCAGATCCTGACATCACCACCTCACCCTGTCTTCCACTTGATTTCACCATCAAAGTTTCTTCAAGATTTTTGTTACCACCGAAGTTAGCTTCCTAGTTATGTCTTTACCTGTCTGTCTCTCTGGTCTCCTTACCCTCCTTGCCAATGCCAACTCTACAAGAATAAAGGCCTGGTTGGTCCTGTTCATCCTACAGCCCTGACTGGCCCTCAATTCCAACAACCAAGGCTGGGAACATTCAGAGATAAATGGAAATATTAGCCAGGTGCAAGAAAATATGTAGGGTCTTCCTCCAACTTCCTTAATTTGAGTCCTACCCCTCCTAGAATTGTCTTTGCTTTTAAAAAACATCATGCATTTAAAGTGGCTTTAAGGCATAGTCTTTGCCAAAGAATGCTGGCCTTTCATTAAAACCAAAATCCTGATCTGTACACAAATTCATAAATCTTCTTTGTACCACCTGTAAGCCATAGGGATGTTTGTGAGGTTGACCAGGCAACAGGAGCAAGAATGTGTTCCCTGATCCAGGTAGACCAGCTGTCCACATCTCCTCCAAGGAATGTTTTCACTCCTTTGTCTACCATCCATTTTGTTCTCTTCTACTCAGGACCAGAGAAAGAATGACTTACTTTGTTGGCCTCAAACTCAGAGCCATCCTCCTGCATCAGCCCTCGGAGTGCTGAGATTACTAGTGTCCACCATCACAGGACTTTGCAGGAAATATGCTTGTAGTTATTTGAGATGATTGATGAAGTTATTGTCAGGCACCCGTGGGGCATGGCTGTCTCCTCTGCGGTTTCCCAACCAGTCATTGACGTTGCTTTGTTGATGAATATCATAAAGGGCAAAAATCTGGCCCCTGCTTCCTCATAAACTTAATGGTCTGGGATCCTTTCTTCCCCTGACCCCCCTTTTTTTCCTTTTTAAATTTAAATTTGAAACAAGGCTGTTTTACATGTCAATCCCAGTTCCCTCACCCTCCTGTCCTCCCCTATCACCCCCACCAAACCCCAGTCCATCCCCTTTCTGCTCCCCAGGGAGGGTGAGGTCTTCCATGAGGAGTCTTCAAAGTCTGTCATATCATTTGGAGCAGGGCCCAGGCCCTCCCCCATGTGTCTAGGCTGAGACAGTATCTCCCTATGTGGGATGGACTCTCAAAGTCCATTCCTATACTAGGGATAAATACTGATCCACTACCAGAGGCCCCATAGACTGCCCAGCCCTCCTAACCCAAATTCAGGGGGTCTGTGTCAGTCCTATGCTGGTTTCTCAGCTATCAGACTGGGGTGCATGAGCTCCCTCTTGTTCATATCAGCAGTTTCTGTGGGTTTCTCCAGCCTGGTCTTGACCCCTTTGCTCATCACTCCCCTCCCTCTCTGTAACTGGATTCCAGGAGTTCGGCTCAGTGTTTAGCTGTGGGTGTCTATTTCAGCTTCCATCAGCTACTGGATAAAGGTTCCAGGATAGCTTATAAGGTAGTTGTCAATCTCATTATCAGGGAAGGTCATTTAAGGAAGCTTCTACACTATTGTTTAGATTGATAGTTGGGTTCATCCTGGGCATTTCCCCAGTGCAGATTTCTTCTTAAATCTATAATGGTTCCCACTATTATGGTATCTCTTTTCTTGTTCTCCTCTATTCTCTCCCTGTCTCAATCATCCTGTTCCTTCATGCTCACCTCTCCCCTCTCCCCCCACCCCCGCCTCTCTTTCTCCCGACTCTCTCTCCCCTCCCTCCCCCCTGCCTCTTTTACATGGCTGGAGAGCTCAATTTCTGATTTCTCTTTTACTTCTCTGGCACTGCTGGCACCTTCCCTTTGCATTTTACCAAAGCTTTGAAAGACAGAAATTGAACCAGCAGAGAATGACCTGGAAATGGCACTAAAATTTCCAAATATGACTTCAGTTTCAGCTGAAAATAGTTCTAGAGCGTTTGATTTATGGAGAAATGCCTTCTGTTCATGACAGTTTTAAGGGTGGCCAGGTACTTGGGAGATTTCCAATGCATCGCCTCTAGGGAGTTGGCACTCCCTCTGCTGGCTGCAGAGCAGTACTGCATAAACTAGACTGAGGAGCTGTGCTCTGGAATTGGCGACAGCAGGGTTGAGCCACACTAAGCCAACAGTCAAGGCTGCCTCACAGCCGACGATTGATACATGCTGAGAAAGTGGCTTGTACAAGGTCCCTGTAGCTGGAACAGGTCTAGAAGGGGAAAATAGTAGAAACTGTAGTTTTAAGCAACCTCTTTAACTAGCATGCAAATGCCTATTTTTTTCAGGTAAAAAGAATTATGAGTAAATCTTAAATCGTAGCATCAAGAGCTCTCAGAATTTAGAATCACAGTGACATGCCTGGGAAGCTGCTAATACACTAGCCAGTTAGCACTGCCTAATGCACTAAATACTTGGCAAATGCCTAAGAACTGAGTTTTGCGTTTCTACATTACATGAAGCAAAAGTAGAAAAAGTACATAACCTACACACATGTTCGTTGGAGATTAGCTGAAGTTTTACTGAATAACTTAATGTATTTTTTAAATCCACAACCTTAGGCAGGCTATGGGTGGGTGGGTGGGGGGGTGGCTAGAAAGCTTGGAAATAAATCCACGTTTACTCTTAAAAAAAAAATAAAAAATAAAAAAGATCCCAGTAGCTCATGGTGAGAAAGGACAGTTTCTTCAGTAATGTTGTTGGAACCACTGGATATCCACATGCAAAAGAGGAAATATTTTCAATCTGATGAGGTGTTAATATGCAAAACATATAAAGGAACTCAACTCAGTTGAAACAAAATAGTGGGTAACTGGGGAGCTAGGGTGGTAATGCACCCAGTAAGGTCAACACTTGAACTCAGGCCGCTAAAGCAGAAGGATCACTGTAAGAGCCCATCTCAAACATAAAATGCAATCCATGCACAGATGAACCCATAGAAGCTGGATAAAGTGCAGTGAGCCCAGCTTGAGGTTGAAGGCTCTTGCTGCAAGCCTCAGGATATGAATGCGGTCTCCAGAGCCCACAGGGTGGGAGGAGTGGACTGACTCCTGGAAGTTATCTTCCGATTTGTTCGCATGTGCATAGCATGCTCAAGGACATGAACACTGAACACATAAGCCAGTGTTTTCAACAAAGGCTCATAGAGCTAGAAACACAGCTGGGTGGCAGAGAGTCTGCCTCCAAGAAAAGGGGAACAAAGTGCCTAAACAGACATCTCTAAAAGTGCAGACAGACGGAGGAATGGATGTTCACTATCACTAGTCCATCATCCAGGAAATGCAAATTAAAAACACCGTGAGGTGAGGTGTCATCTCACTGCCTCTTAGAATAGCTTGCACCGAGGGACGATGGTGGCACACACCTTTAATCCCAGCACTCGGGAGACAGAGGCAGGTGGATCTCTGAGTTCAGGGCTTGGTCTACAGAGGGAGTTTCAGGACAGCAGGGATACACAGAGAAACCCTGTCTCAGGAAAAAAAAAATATCTGGCACCAAAAAGATGAAAGGTAGATCTAAGAACTGAAGAGAAGTTCTTCACACTGCTGCACACTGCTGATGAGACATGAATTGTGCAGCCATCAGGGAGAGTGAAGTCCCTCAAAACACTAAGCTTCTCTGGGGCCCTGCCTGCATCCCTACTCCTCAGTAGCAGGCAAAGGACATGAAACCAAGACTCAAATAGCCGTCTGCACTCCCGTGTTCTTCACGGCACCGTTCACAGGAGCAAAGAAGGGATCAGCCTACGTGCTACCAACACATAGACAGAGATGGGGTAGACGCACATTGGAATACTGCCCAGCCACAGAAAGAATGGAGTGCTGTCATTTGCAATGCACGCATTGAAGAATGTGGTAGACACAAAAAGTGGAATAAGCCAAGCTCATACAATTATAACATCATCTCATCTGTAAGTGGTAGTAAAACTGTTGACTCCTACAAGCAGAAAGGAGGGTGGAGGGTACCAGAGGTTACTGATCAAAGGATGCAATCTTTCCAAAAACTCAAGAATTAGCTACGGACTTGAAAATTGCCAACCACAGTTTTAAAGTCTCCTCACCTAAAAATTGTGACGTAAAATATGCTTGTTAGCTTGAGTTAGTCATTGCCACAATGTGTACATATTTCAAAATATCATTTTGTACATAATTTATATATATATGTATATGTATACATATATATATTGTATTTTTTAACTAAATAAACAAACTATAAGTGGTCATATAGAAATACTCTTGCAGCTTTTATTTTATTTCCTCTGGGACATAATGTCATGTAGTCCAGGCTAGCCTCATTAGACTCATAGCTGACGATGACCTTGAACTCCTGATCCTCCTGCCTTCCTCATAGAAGAGCCCCGCTGGGCCCAACCTTAATTCTTTCTCTTGATTCCTTTTTTTTTTTTTAACCTCCCCCAATACCTGTAATAAGCAAATGCCAGAGTTTTACCCAGACCATTCCTGTCTGCGTTCTAGGCAAAATACTGGAGCACTAATGCCCACGAGATCGAAGGCACCGTCTTCGACCGCAGCGGGAAGGCGGTGCACCGGCTGTTTGGGAAATGGCACGAGAGCATCTACTGTGGTGGCGCCTCCTCCTCCACGTGTGTCTGGAGAGCGAGTGAGTGTCCACAAGACCCCGAGCATGGGACACAGAGTGTGTGGGTCAGAGCAGGGAGCTGGGAGGGGCGAGTGCTGCTCTGTGTCTCTAGCTGCCACCTGCTTGTTAGCGGGTTAGCGATACTGGCCCACCTCTCAAGTCCTTGTCATGTTTACAGTAGCACCTCAGTTTGGCTGCTAGGTTTCATTCTGGGTTCTCGGGGCCTCAGAAAGGAGCCACCGACAATCCACCACCGACAATCCAAGGGTGGCCTGTTAGACATGGGACTGTGACAGACCCTGTTGGAATGACAGTGAAATGTGAGAAATAATTCTTGGAGACATGTATATGTGGATATGTCACCAACAAGTGTTCCAACCGTCTGGGAGTTTCCCTAGTCTGGGTTGGATCTCCTTGGTCTACACCTGATTTTTAGCTGAGACCAAAGTGAGGGCAAATAAGAACCCAATGTTCTACCCATGGGATGTGAGATTTTAGGGGCTGAGACTTGGTGAAAAGAAAGACGAGGAGGGCACTCGGGAGGCAGAGCCAGGTGGATCTCTGTGAGTTCGAGGCCAGCCTGGTCTACAGAGTGAGTTCCAGGACAGGCTCAAAAGCTACACAGAGAAACCCTGTCTCCATAAACAACAAAAAGAAAGGCGCGGAGGGAAGACGATTAACATGTACTGACAGCCCTGGGGGAGTTCCAAACTGTTGCAACTGGGAGTTTGGCATCTGCAGGGTCATGGGTCTTCTGCAGTGGGAGCCGGCTAGTTAAGAAGAGGTCTAGTGGTTTATTTATTTGATCTGGCTTTTATACCTTTATTTTTGTGTGAGTGTGTGAGTGTGTGCGTGTATGTGTGAGTGTATGTGTGTGAGAGTGTGTATGAGCATGTGTGTGTAGTGAGTATGTGTGTGACAGTGTATGTGTGTGTGTGTGTGGTAGTGTGTGGTGTGTGTGGATATGTTTGAATGTTTGTAAGTGTGTGTGTGTATATGAGTGTGTATAGTGTACGTGTGAGTGTATGTGTGTGTGTGAGAGTGTGTATGAGTATACGTGTATAGTGTGTGTGTGTGAATGTGTGTAGTGGTGAGTGTGTAGTGTGTGTGAATGTGTATGAGTGTTTGTAAGTGTGTGTGTATATGAGTGTGTGAGTATATGTGTGTGTGAGTGTGTGTATGTGTGTGTGTGTGTGTTAGTGTGTGTGGGGGGCTATGGTATGGTATAAGTGCAAGGACTTGCATGCCACAGCAGGAATGTGGAAGCCAGGGGACCACTTTGTGGAGTCAGTTCTCTCTACCGTGTAGGGTCTGAACTCAGCTCATCAGCCTTGAGTGGCATCTCACCGGCCCCTGGTGTGTATATTTGAATAACAAATTCTGTGAGAACTCAGACAGTACAGATACTCCACGGCACTGAATAAATTCACTAAAGGACCAAGGCAAAGAGACCATATCCCTTCGATGGAAAACTCAGACAGGAAAATCTGTAGAGAAATGCTCAGTAGCTACTTATTAGCCAGAATATTCTAATAGAAATGGAACAGTTTGAGATAAAACATTGGTCTGGGATGAAAAAAAGTGAAGGAATTAAACTGACATAAATGAATTGTAGATGAGAGCGGGTGGTTTGTTTCTCTTTCAGATCCCATGCCAAAAGGCTATGAGCAGTATTACGGCTTCACACAGTTTGCATTAGAGTTAAATGAAATGGATCCAATGTCAAGGTCTTTATTACCACCCACCGACACTCGGTTTAGACCAGATCAAAGGTAGGGACTTTTTCAAAGTTCTTTCTCTCCAAAGATATTCAAAACAATCTACAAATGTGGTATTCACAACTGCCTGGCTACCGGAGCCCGAGGTGGGTGCTGTCATCAGGTGCACAGGGACAAAGGGGGGTTGAAACATCTGTCTCAGAGGGGCCAGAGCCTGCACTTCCAGCCTTGTGCGAAGCGTCTTCCACACATCTGTAGGCCTCATTTCTATTGAAACACCAGAAAGGAGCAAGGGCTGTTTTGAAGAATTTCACTGCGTGTGGTAACAAGGGATTTACTGTTTGCTTGGAATAATGAAAGACGCATGTCTCCTGACCCTTCAAGGTGAAATGGTTTTAGTGCACTGGGATCTAACTTCTGATTCTGGGCTTGCTATTGTGAGGGCTATGGGGAGGCTTTTCCTCTTCCCCAGCCTCGGTTTCCTGCTCTGTAAGACAGAGAGAATAACCTCCCCTGAGCCTTTTGTAATTGAGACTCAAAATCTAAAATGCCACGTGAAAGGAAAGATTTCTATATGTGATTAACTTTTTTTTAAAGCTTAAATACAAGTGCATAAACAAATTCAAAGATAAATGGTCAACATAAGCCTGTATCTTCAATCTTACTGTGTGGGTTTGCTCTAGAAATCAGTAAAACGTCACTTGGGAGGGAGAAAATGGGTCTGGGGAATGAACAGTTCATGGGTAAGAGGCCCAGATAGTCATTAAACATGGAGAGAAATTAAGTTTCCATCATAATATTTTTAAATGCTAAATTTTTAAAACCAGGTGAAAATAGTATCCTTACCTTAGATGGGCAAAAATAAAAATAAATATAAATAAATAAATAAAAACCTATCTGTGGCTGGTGACATGCTATAATATAAATATATAATATAAAAAGGGATTATAAATTGCTTCAATTCCTTATAAAGTAGTTTGAAAATGTATCCATTGCAGACTTGCTCTTTGTTCCAACACTCCTAATTCTAGAAGTTTCTTGTACAGATATACTTTCTTATGTGTAAATGGTGGTTGTCCAGTCACTCACTACAAAATTAAATGTAACACTAAAAATACCCAATGTCTACATGTAGAGCATGTTTGAAATAAGGTACGCCCTCAAAATGGAATACTATGCAGCTATTAAAAATGAAGATGTCTAGGCATGACTGTGAAAAGTTCTCTAAGATGTGTTGTAAAGTAAAGCAACACAGTTTTGCCACTATTTATGCTCTTAAAGTGGAGGATGGAATAAGAATATGTATTTATATTTGAAAAATATGTACCCAAGAAAACAAACTGTGGGGTTGCTTGCTGTGGGAGAGTGAGGGAAGTAGAAGACTGGCTCAGGTTTCTCTGGATAAAGTTTTTGAACCCTGCAAATACCACCTGTTCACAGAAGGTTACCTTCTGCCCAGAATACTGCAATTACCAGTTGAAGAAGGGACAGGGTGTAGGGGATTTTGAATATCCACCCTTGGGCATAGAAGTGGTTGGTTGTTATTTCTTCAGTGAATGTTCCTGTCCTTTTTCCCCTCAATGCCCAGGCTTCTAGAAGAAGGGAACATAGAGGAAGCCGAGGTACAGAAGCAGAGGATTGAGCAGCTGCAGAGGGAGAGGCGGCGGGTCTTAGAGGAAAACAACTTGGAGCACCAGCCCCGGTTTTTCAGGTTTGTGGGTGGAGTGGGGTGGAAGCTGACAGGTCCTGCCAGCGTTTCTGATGCTGGTCGACAGCAGACAAATAGTGTCTGCCTGGCCATCACTGTCCTGAGACAGCATCGGTGCCTTCCTCGTTGCCTCCCTTTGCTTCTCCCCCTTGGCTCAGGACTGCCTCCACCGAGAGTTTCTCAGTCAGTCACCATAGCAGAAGAGATGGGCATTGTCAGAGCTGGTCCTTACACCAGGCCATCTTCTTACACCAGTAACTGAGGCTGGTTGCTGGCATGATTAGATTTTACATGATGACAGGCTAGTTGGTGACCACCCTACCGTAGAATTCGAAGTACCTATGCCTAGAACCAACAGTTCCAATATGTTTGTGCTTGGGCTTGAAAGGTGGTCTGATTGATTGTTACTTTTAAAAATAGCTGTCTGAAGCTGAGTGACTTGTAGTCATACTTGCAATCCCAGCACGAGGGAGGCTGAGACGGGAAGATTGGTAAGAGTGTGAGGCTAGCCCTGGCTATAGTGCAAAACCCTGTCTGTCAGTAGACAGATAGATAGATGGTTTGTTGAGAGGGTCCTGTTTACCATGTACTTAAATGTTTACACTTAAAAGGCAATAGTAGCCTTTTACCCTCTCCCTATCATTTTAACTGAGAAGAAACAGAGCCCCATAGAATAAAGGGGTTGAAGAAGGACCAGGTAGAATCTTCCAGATGGGGCCGTGCTTTTCCTGACAGCCTGGCCAATACTCTGTGTGCTTTGGGGATATGCAGAGAATGCACACTCCTGGTGGGTCTACATCTGACCTATAGCCAGTGGTTCACTGATGTTTGGGGTTGGTGTTATGAATACCGTGAAAGGGTGACCTTGGCAGGGCCCCATGGTGAGTGAGAGACAAATGCGCTATCAGGCAGAACTTACATGGGAATGTTTTATTGGGGAAGGGAGTATGGAAGGGAGAAAGAAAGGGGAGAGAGAAGAGAAAGAAAAGAGACAGACAGAGATCTGTCTGCCAGGTGTGCCTGGACTACAACAGTAGGTCTGCCTGGCTTTGTTTATCAGTATGGGCAACAGGAACTGTAACGTGTATGGGTTTTTCCGCCTGCCGCCTCCCGGTCTTGTCCCGCCGCCATGCCGCCAGCCCCAAATAATACACTGAGACTCTGTATTTGATACAATGCTGTTGGCCCAGTTACTTGTTTCTTATCGGCTAGCTCTGCCTTAATTATTAACCCATTTCTGCTGATCTATGTATTTCTCTTACCGGGGAGCCGGCGGCATACTGCTTTCTCCAGACTCTCCATCTTGACTCCTCCTTCCTACTTCCTATTTCCTCCTTGTCTCCTAGTCCCTCCTATCTTCCTTTCCTATTGGCCAACAGTGCTTTATTATTAACCAGTATGAGAAACATATACAGAATGACATCTCCCATCAAGGAACAGTTTCCAAAAGACTAGAGGGACTAATCCTAGCAGCAAAGACCGGTAATCGATGATGCTGACTTGGCAGGCAGTAAGGCATAAGTGATTACTTAACCAGATGTTCATCATGAAAGTAACCATAGATAATATTTAAAGAAATGGGTAGGGCTGTGTTCTAATAAAACAGTATTTCAAAGATATGCAAGGCTAGGCCTGTGGCTTTGTGGTAGAATAGTTCGATAGCATTCATGAGGTTTTAGACCTGATCCCTAGTGTTCTAAAATATGCAGGCACTGGAGGCTGAACTGGGCCCTTGGATTGTAGTTTGCTGACTTACCAAGGAGCAATGAAGACAGACATCACACATCTTACTGTGTGAATGGAAAATGATCTTCTGTATAGAATGTGGTGTCTAAGTTCCAAGAGATAGAGCACTGCCCAGTGATGTGCAAGGGAGAGACGGCAGTGTGCATGGACATGTGCATGAGCTTTCTCTGGCAGATTAAAGCTGCCAACACTGCCTCGGGAGCAAATGTCAGGCTGTGAGGTAGGACTAACCAAAAATGGTAGGCCCTGTATCCTCTCATGCCCGTTGAATTTCCATCTACGGAGCAGGGTACCTTTTCCCAGAGGAGTAAACCAAAGTTCTCGCTCCAAACTGTTGTGGTATCTGGTTTCAGTTCCTTTTTGTTTTGTTCTATTTGGCTTTATGCTCACTTAGATTTATTTTGGTCAGCCTAGATGATTGTGTAGTGTTTAGTTATTCCCAGTGTGGTGGCTATTAGCCCAGGCATGTTTGATGTACAGCACACAGAGAGAGGACAGATGGACAGACAGACAGACACACACACACACACACACAGAGAGAGAGAGAGGGGGGGGGTTCTCTCAGAAGCACCACCTTCCCAGCCTCCAGGTTTAAGAACTTAATGTCAGAAGTAAAAATGCCTGCCTGCCTGCTTGCCAACACCACTCTAATTACCAAACAGCAGGAAGAGTGGATGTGTCTGAATGATGGTGGGTTAGCAGGGGAAGGAGGGGAAGAGAGGATGTGATGGCAGAGTCTACAAGAAACTGTCTCATCTCTCACAGGAAATCCAGCGACGACTCTTGGGTGAGCAACGGGACCTATCTGGAACTGAGGAAAGAACTTGGCTTTTCCAAACTGGACCATCCCATCTTGTGGTGAAAAAGTCAAGAAGAAGGTTATGTCAGGGTACTCCCACCACGTTTGTTCCAGAAGCAGCAGACACCTGTATCTGTACCTTTAAAAGATAGTATCTAGAAGGACCACTTGTGCTTAGCTTAGCATTGTAAGTACTGAAGTACATACTTTCTTCAGTAAGTTTCTTTACAATTTCAAATACTATCATGATTGTTTATATGAATGTAGAACACCTCAGTAATCCTTTTTTTATATAAACTATTTAATAAAAATGGAAGAATGAATGTTAATGTGTGGGTTTGGAAAAAAAAACAAAAAGAAGCTTTAACACTAATTTTCCAAAGTTGAGGGGGAAAAGCAAATTTATGCCTTATAAAATCACACTGGAGAAAAAGAACAATCTCCCAGGTGCATTGAGAAATAAGAACACCCAGTGTTGCTCACCCGTACACCAGCTGTCCAGGTCTAGTTGGTAGCTGGGATATCTTTTTTGCCTCAGACAGCTCTTGAATTGCTCGTACAGAACAAGTCTGCCGGTGCTGAGGTGCCAAGAATATTTTCACTCCCATTTTAGTGGTTATGGCGTCTGTGTGGGGTTAGTATGATGCATATTTTTTTTTTTTAATGTAAGATGGACATTGCTCGTCTGGAAGGGGAAGTCTCTCCCTATAGTTATATACAACCCCCCACATTGCTTAGAGAAGTTGCATTAATCAGCAAAATCTCCAATAAGTCATCGTTGATGGCATCCTAGGGAGGCAGAAGGCATTTCATTTTTCCTCAGTGAGAGCTGAATCCTGAACCACTTAAGAAACTACTTTCAGCTTCCTGCCCCACCCCTGGCTTGCAAGCCTTCCTTTTGGCCCCTATTAAGGATGGAATGTCTCCCATTTAGTACAAGATATACAGTAAACAGCTTGTGACCCTCTAAAACTTTGGTGAAGTCACTGGTGATTTTAAATAGCCTGGCAAGTCCTTCTTCCATGTGGCTGTGGTATTTTCTACCTCTCACTAAGCTCTGTACTCTCAACCGTGTGTAGACAGTTTAACCATCTGCCTTATAGACAAACATCAAGCATTGCTCATCTGTGTCGTCCTGAGGAAACCGCAAAGGTTTTACCTCTTTCCTCTACTCTCTTCTTGTTTGTAATACTCTGCGGTCTGCCTCTGTCTCCTATAGGAGCTTCCAAAAGGAAGCCATTGTTCTTGTGTCTTCACATTGTGATAATAGAATGTACGCAGTAGCTAAATTGTGTTGTCAAACCAGTTCTGACTTCTGCCCAGAGCACATTAAAACCAAAGCCTGATTGTGAAGCCTTTGATTTGAATGTCTGTAATGATTCTATGAAACATTGCACAAAGAGATTTCTATAGAAAACATTTGAGGGGACCAGCAAGATTGGCTCAGCAGGTAAAGGCACTTACTGGCCACCTTAGTGCAATCCCCAGACCCCATAAAAGGTGGAAGGAGAGAGCTAGCCCCACGGAGCTGACCTGTGTCCCCTCAAATCGCCAACTGGACAGCTCTGAGTTTTCACACCAGAGTGTTGAAGGTGAATCGGTGGTTTTGGAGTCTACAAGTGACTGCCATTTTAAACAACTCGTTAAATATTGCTTCATTTATTCCATTTTATAGACAGACATCAAGATGAACACAGTGGGAATCTCATTTTCATTTCTAAGCAGCTGGATGGCACAGCTCAATTCTTTAGTTCCCGGTTTTTTGGGTTTTGTTTTTTTTTTTTTTTTCTTCCTTTCCCTTCAAAGTGTTACTCACATTCTGCTCACAGACACAAGGAAGCAGGCTGTAGATTTAAGAGCTCTCAGCAGGGAAACAAACTTGGTATACACAATGTGAGGATAAATGTGGAATTTTAGTAATATGGACTGTTAAATAGGCCTGCTTCAGAGGCTAGCTCAAAGGAGAAGGAAAGACAACAAAAAACAAAAACCGCCAAATATACTACTGGGATGGGTGCCACCTTGTGGTACCAGTTATTTGAAAATTCTTAGGTTATCTCACAGTGTAATTTCTGTTGATTTCAAGTTTTATTTTGGAATCCCATGAACAGCTAAAGTAATCTTATTGAATCAGGGACAGGAATTCCAGAAGCATGTGTAAATTCTCTCGTCACCGCTAGTGTCAGGGTGAGGCTCTCTGAAATGCAGTTGGTCTGGGAGTGCAGCCTTGGTATTTGCATTGTGAAACTCGCTGCAGGAGGGAGGAGGCCGCTGTGTTCCTGCCATCTTGTCTAACACATCCTTCCACCAAGTTTGTCTGAGTAGGACTTGCTTATTTTATAAGGAAAATAGAACTATGGTATCGTTTGAGCGGAATTAAGGTAAAGGTTGAGTTTCTGGACTCTGAGTTTCTCAAATACATAATACTAACCACTGCTCCATTTGATATGCCTGTGTCAGGGTTTCTCACTCTGATTTTCCTGTTTCAAGTTTGTGATAAGCTACAAGTGTTCTCTTGGCTATAGGACCTTGTGCTGACCACATGCTACACTTCAAGTGTCCCTCATTTCAGTACTCATGACTCCAAACTGCAGTGCACCTTTAAGGAATGATCATCTTCAGTATAACGAAAGGAAGGGTGCCAGTTTCCTCCACAGGTCCTTGGGTACCTGAAGGATGGCATTTCCCCTCCTCAAAGGTGGTGATACAAGCCTTGGTGCAGCTTCTTCCTGCAGTTCATGTCCTGATGCTAGGATGCCTCTGGTACTAACTAAGCAGATGCAGTTCCCCTCCAAGACAACAGGAGGAGTCTAGTACTAACTAAACACATGCAGTTCACTTCCAGGACACTAGTTTGAATCTGGTACTAACTAAGCCGATGCAGTGCACCTTTGAGACACTAGAGGGAGTTTGGTACTCACTAAACACACTGTGTACCTCTTAGACACTAGGGGGAGTCTGGTACTAAACAGATGTAGTGCACCTCAGACTCAGGAGGGTTCTTGTACTAAATAGATGGAGGTTCACTTTAGGATATCAATACAATTACCTACTAAGTGGCAAGAATGCCTCAACAGCCCCCAACTTCCAGAGCATCTGGGGGCTCTCTGAACTACACAGTTTTTTTAAATGTTTACTTCATTTAGGCCGATGTTTTCCTCATATCCTATTTTAAACTACTTCCAATAAATCATTTGCTCAGCCTTCTAGCACTATCCTTCATCTGCATTTGCCAGGTTTATGATGAGATGTTTTATTCCACCCTTAAAGATGTCAAGCCAAAAATAGAGGTAAGGGTTACTTTGCTTTTTAATGTAAACTTACTGTGTACAGCAAGCTCTGTGATGGACCGTGGCTGTCACAGACTGTCCTCAAACCCTCTTAGCTACCAATAAGAGTGGTACGTTCCTCACACAATCTTAGGAAGAGCAGCTACAGTGTGTGGGCAGGATGTATCTGAATGTCTTTAGTTTTTTATATCAACATCAGTATAAATCTATTTTTGCTAGCAGATTAAAGCTATTTTCACGTGCTCAGTTTTCTGTGTTGTATTGATCTGTGACTCGGTATCTATCTTGCTCTGTTAAAAACCTACATATTGAACAAGTATCTGCAAATCATGATGGTCTATAGTGCTGGTTTTGAAGACCGGTTTTAGGGGAGGTGGCAATAAGAAATGGCTAATTTATTTCATTCATGATGTTTTTTTATATCTTCCTCTGTCACCCCCAGAGGATATGCTTTGGGGGGGCAATTAATTCTCGTACATCTTCTACATGACCATTTGTAAAGTTCAATTCCTTCCTTGCTGCCCACATCTGCTCAGCTTCCCCAAAATCTCCTTGCAATTTGTTGTCTCCCTGCCCCTGTAGCTCATTGACTGAGAATAAAGAACATAGTAATGGCTGTCTTTGTCTGTTTTTCCTGGTTGTGGGTAGTTGTAGTTGATGGAAGGGACAGCAAGATGCTTCCTAGAGTCTGTTGGAGGAATACACTTGCTCACCTAAAGCGACAGACCCTGAGGTACTGAACTTAGGAAACACTGGGTTGCCATGGTCTTCTACCCAACATGTCCTAGTCACCCTCAGCTGTGGATAGGCACTAGGAGTTCCAGGGAGGTTGCCCCTAGTCCAAGGATCCCTGGACTAGACAAGGACTTACCTTACTATGCTATGGAAATAGCATTTTCTGTGTGTCATAATGTGAAATGGAAACATTCGGATTACGCCTATGTAATCACACAGTGACTGAGCCATCTCCTCTATCCAAGTTGCATCCCTGAGCATTCACAGAACTTCATTTGGTCCAAGTTGGTAATTCCCAGCATCTTTCAGGATAATGTGATGCTAAGCGAAATCTGAAGAGCATCCTCAGCTTTTTGAAATATTGGCCACTCTTTGCTCATGTTGCCAACGATTGAGACAGTTTGGAGGATTACATTCTCAGTCATTAGTTTACAGTTTTAGTCATGTTCTCATTATAGCCATAACATACTAGTTTCGGTGTAGTCACTGTCATCAGTAATGAGCAAGCCAGGACTGTATCCCCAGCCGGTTCCTTACCATACACTTCATAGCAGCAGTCCTTCCAGTCCAACCCAAGAGATGCAAGGGGATTAAACAAAAGGTCCAGAGTGAAGCCTGGAAAATTAACAAGGCAGGAACTCCCAGAATGGAGACTCCATCAGAAGTGTGGTTTTGAAATACATGCTGCAGTGCCAGACAACTGGGAACAGGCTGGAAGAGCTGTCCTTGCCTGGGTCTCAAATCAACCATTTGTGTAATGGCTTTAATGAGCTGAGAGGAGGCTCCTCGACTGTCATCATTTATACTCATAGACTGGGAAAATACATTAGTCAGGATTCTTAAATTTGGTTAAAAGTCCTGGGAGTAATTTACACATGTGTGCATGCATGTGTATACACACACACACACACACACACACACACACACACACACACACTTCCCCCAGGTGTTTCAGACTTAGACAGCCCAGGCACTGTGTTGACATACATTTTCATGCCACCATGGGGCTGGGACACAATTGTCTGTCACGATGCTTGGGACAAGTTTCTGTATATTGTTTTATAGTGTCTTGTGACCTTAGATTTGACTTTGATGGAGCATATTTTTGTTGCCCAGGGTGGACACTACAGGTGTGTATTTCCATGCTCAGCAATTTCTCAGGTCCTTTTCAAAAGGTCTGCACAGAAGGAGGCCCAGCTGCTGCTTTGATGGAGTCGTGGGGACACATTTATGGAGCAAGGAATGGTTCTAAACCCAGACATTTCTCCGCCATCAGGAGCCACCCATCTGGTGGCAAG